GAATTTTAGGAATTTTAGGAATTTTAGGAATTTTAGGAGTTTAGGACTTTGATACTTTGGGACTTTGGTAGTATGAGGGTTTGGAACTTTTGATAGTTTGGAGATTTGTGACGTTGGAACTTCGACTTCTTAGAATAGGACGTTAAAATTGTGGCTTCTTAAAAACTTGAAACATTGGAAACTTGGTATCTTAAAAATTTGGGGCGTTGGATCTTTGATGAACTTCAAGACCTTGGAATCTTAAAATTTTTGGATTTTAAGACTATAGGGCTCTAGAACTTGAAATTATCAAACTTTGGAATCGTAAAGCTTTGAAACTTCTGCAAGTTAGGAACCTCGAAATTTGAGAGTAATAAAGACATTAAGACTTAGAAATTTGCAAGTTTTTTCAATTTGAAAACTAAGGAACTTCAATCTTACTGATACCAACAACAATTACTGTGATACCAACCTCCACAATTACTATAATATTGATACTAATCTCAATAATAGTTGTGTAACTATCACACTTATTACGCCACAAAAATACGTAATTTTACTACAAAAATACCAACAGTGTAAATACCAAAAATATCAACAAATAAAATCTCAAAAAGTATGGCCTTAAGAATTTGATTCAACTTACAACGTTTGTATATCAAATAATTTTCTTATTTTTCTAGTAACTTTTCTTATGTAAGGTGCACTAGTTCCACAGGACACCTTATACATTTGGCCTCGTTCAGCAAACATTGAATAACATGTCTTATGGGTCAAACGATTCAGATTGACAGAAGAATACACGATGATCTTTAATTTCATGCAAAGAGAACAGTTGTAGGCGAATAACGAGTTTTATCCGTGTAAATTATTAAAACGGACACTTCATTTGCCTTAAGACAATCATCGTCCATTATTTAAAACCAAATTTTCTAACTGCGTTCATAATTTTAACTTGAGACTTTGTAATGTCATTTTTATAACAAATTTTACTTCTCAAATAAAACGATAAATAAATAAATAAATAAATAGATAGGTAAACAAATAAATCAATACATAAATGAATGGATCAATGGATCAATAAATAAATCAGTCAGTAAATAGATAAATAAATAGATCAATCGGTAAATAAATATATCAAAAAAATCAATCAATGAACAGATATATGAAGCAATAGATAATTAGACCAATAAATCAATAGACCAGTAAATCAATCAATCAATATGTAAACATATTAATCAATAGATAAATAAATCAATAAATCAATAGGTAAATAAATCAATCAATCAATAGATAAATAAATCAATCAATCAATAGGTAAATAAATAAATCAATCAATAGATAAATCAATTAATCAATAGGTAAATTAATCAATAAATCAATGGGTAAATAAATCAATAAATCAATAGACAAATAAATCAATCAATCAATCAATCAATCAATAAACAAATAAATCAATCAATCAATAGGTAAATAAATCAATAAATCAATAGATAAATAAATCATTAAATCAATAGATAAATAAATCAATCAATCGATAGACAAATAAATAATAAATTTAGTAAGAATAAACGTGAAAAATGATTGATTTTACGAACAGAAATAATTATCAGAATGCACCTAATCGTTTGCCTTGTACGTGGAAGGAAACATGTCGGTTGACCTTGAAAATTGCGAAGAAAACGAAGTACGCTTGGTACTGCGGATGTACGAAGAAGACGCGAAGAGAAAACTGGTTTCAGATGATGGAGAATGTTCTGGTAACATTTGCATTTGGTGTGTGTGCATAGTTTACAGGACCATCAGTGTTTTACGGGTCGTTACGTTTACAATGCCCGACAAGAAAATATCAAAATGACATTTTGAGCCTTGTACGTTCGATACGATCGACGAGTACACGATTGTTGCATACCTTTTATGCAAGATATTGTCTCTTTACGTTTGCGTCAAATATTTCGATACACGAATCTTCCATATCTTTATTACTTTATTTATTCCTTCTTTTTTATCGTAATTCAAAATGTGTTACTATGGAATGTTCAGAATCTTACGGAGGTTCAGGCTATTTCAAGGTTTATTTTATCTTATTTTAGTTATTTTTGCATTTATTCGTTTTTGCAGTTATTTCTGAGGCAGTCATTTCTTGCAAGTTTATTTTACTTTTAGGTTCACTTAAATGTTGTTAAACCTGTTAAGTTTAATAATCTAGTATTATTTTATTTTTGATTCAAACCTGAAAGGGACTTAGAAATCTGCAACTTCGAAAGTTACTGTACTACTTTGAAATTATTAAATAAATTCAAAGATTTTGGACACCAATCAGAAAGTTTGTACAGTAAATTCTTTGTAATGAACAGGAAACTGTTCTCCAAATGGTTGACGGTATTAAATAAACCAGCTGTGGAGGAATTTTCAAAATAAATGTAGGGACTTCGAAATTTGAAACTTCAAGAAATATTTGGATTCTCGAAAATTATTAAATAAAGAAATGGACACTAGATTTTGGACACTAGAAAGCTTGTATAGTAAATACTCTGTGATGATTTTCTGTATGTTCCGAATGGTTAAATAAACCAATCGAGGCATTTTCGAAGCATGCGTTTTTGTTCCGAAGATACGCGCTGAAGAACGCGCGGTTACACGTGAAAGTGCAGTATACAGTAAATTATAGCTGGCTGCATAAGGTCGCAGGTACTATATATACATTGCCATCGTAATACGAGGATTAGTGCAGCCGACTTTAGCCCCGACACTGACCTTGGAATCGAGCCTCGAGCACTATCTCTTCCCGTAGTTCTAGGCAGCCATAAGGCGATCCTCCGTAAAAGAAACCACTAACAAGATATACTTCAATCGGGGAACACAATCCCTCTTAATCGTTTATTCCTCGTTAGAAATTAGAAACTTCCAATATGTCGTTTTTGAATCACCGCGTATTCGCTGAAACTTTCGTTTCTGAGGATAATTATAGTTCCTATGATGAGCTCGGTTTGAATAAAGATGATCCCGAACAATCAGTCAGTGAAGAAATGTACAAAGCGCGTTAGATTTGGAAATGGCGGTGATTAGAATCGTGCGATTAAGACGATAATTACATACGATTTTCTGTTAATATGAGAACGCGAAATGGTCGGATAATTATGGAAAGCGAGATCGATGTAACACTTAGGTAATTCAAAGTAACTGTCGATAAGCGTACATGTTTATTTTTACTGCTATATTTATTTCTACGGGTTTAACTGCTGTAACTACGCCATTAGGGCTACTCTCACTAGGCAACTGCTTCGGCGAATAGTCAAGTTTGTTAAACGTGTCAGCTTTGGATGTAATTTCTCTTCAGTTATTTGGATTCTTGTTTTATTTGGGAATCTTCGGATGGGGATTTCTAGTAGTAAAATGAAACGGAGATAATTGCGGTTGTACTACTTTTATATGTTGTACTTGTTTTGAGGAGTTATTATATCTATGATACAAGAATGCTGTATATTAGTATCATTGAGAACATGAATATTATACTTATAATATTAATTAAAGTACTATAAGTAAGTATTTATAATTACAGTATTTACTATAAAAAGTAAATACTATAATTATAAATATATTATAGTACATTAAAGTAATAGATACTCCAGATAAATAAATACTGTACACTTCTAGATAAAACTGTAGCAGATACTATGACACTGCACGTATTTAAAATTATACTATTTCGATACTAATAAATATTGAAATAAATAACAATAAGTACTAAATACTAGTGATACTACAGTGAAATGTGCTAAATTAATATTGCTAATTCTATTGATACTTGATACTAATATTAATGAACAATAATATGCTACTAAAAGCATTATGGAAATAAATACTAAAATAGTTAATACTAATTGCGTTTCAGATACTAAAATAGTTAATACTAATAATCAAAACAATATTAGTATACAATAAAATAAACACGAATATACTAAATGTATTAAAGTCACTATGCCATACAACCATTACAATATGAACATACTAGGTACTGGCACCTAGTATCTAACGCTGTTACTAAACACGTAATGTAAATACTAAGACATTTTATTTATAATAAGTCACAAAATATCAGTAATATTAACATAACAAACTAATGTTATTATTTAAAACGTTGACAGGAACCTTACTACATCACCTGTAATTTATCACTACTGTTCCAATACTGATACTATAATAATACTAACAGTATCTCGTACTAAATACTAGTATAATATAATACATCAAGCTACTAAATTGTATAAAATTACACAGAACTATAAGAAGATACTAAAGTCATACTATATGATATCAGTATCTACTGATGTCATACTAATATCAATATTAGTATCCGTATCTAGTACCAAATACTAGTGTAAAGAATATAATACATCAAGCTACTAAATTTTATTAAATTACGCAGAACTATAATAAGCTACTAATGTCATACTATACGATATCAGTAGATACTGATGTCATACTGATATCAATATTAGTATCTATATCTAGTATCAAATACTAGTATAAACAATATAATACATCAAGCTACTAAATCGTATTAAATTACACAGAACTATAATAAGCTACTAATGTCATACTATATGACATCAGTATCTACTGATGACATACTGATATCAATATTAGTATCCATATCTAGTATCAAATACTAGTATAAACAATATAATACATGAAGCTACTAAATTGTATTAAATTACACAGAACAATAATAACATACTAATATCGTACTATATGATATCAGTATCTACTGATGTCATACTAATATCAATATTAGTATCCGTATCTAGTATCAAACACCAGTGTCACATAACTATGAGCCTGCGTAACGACACGCTATAACGGTTAATGTCATCCAGTTTAATCAAGCGAATATCAAGGAAAGAAAGATGACGAGTATCGGATACCGATAAAATAACTTATGCAAGGAATCAAAGAATGCGTGTGTGCACCGGGTGGCGGGCCAAATCGTTTCGCGATCTCGTATTCGCACGGAACACAATTCCTGCAGGCCGATGGAAAGTTGGCCTGCGTGTTGCTCGTACCATAGGAATTTAAACGGGGATATAGGTATAAGAACACGGAGACGGGGAGTCGTTCGAGGTAGTGTGAGGCATAAACGCGCCGGCACCACACCCAGCGTGACCACCATTGCGACACGGGACACGGGATACGATACGGGATACGGCCATGCGCGTCGCGGTGATCGTGAGTACCCTCAAAGTGTTCTCTCCTCTTTGCGAACCCTTTAACCCTTTCGTTCACTCGGGAGACCCCGGCGGGAACCGTGCGTTTTGAACTGAGAGTCGATGATCTTCGGACGGTTTTACCGAAGTGCACTTTATGCGACGAGGTATTTTCAATTTAGCGCTCTTGAAATTCGGATTTTCATGGTTGAGGAAGTATTAGCACTTTTGTGAGATTTTTTAAAGTTATTCTTTGTCAGATAGTAGTGACTGATACACAATTTTGAGGCAAAATTAGAAGAAGTTTGTAATTTTTGAAATTTTTCAGTTTTAAACATTCTTGAGTTTTAAAAAGTAGAATTTAAAAATTTTTAAATTATAATGTTCAGAAACAGCAAAATATTCAATATCAAAAATTCCAAAATTTAGTTACTTAAAGTCCCAAAATTCAAAACTTCTAAAGTCCTAAAAACTTCAAAATTTAAAATTCCAAAATTCATAAATTCTAAAATTCCAAAGATCCAAAATCTCAAAATTCCAAAATTCATAAATTCTAAAATACTCAAGTGACAAAGTCCAAAAATTAAAAATTTCCAAAGAATTAAATCCAAAGTTGCAAAATTTGAAAATTCCAGAACCCTAAAATCTTGAAATCTAAAAACAAAATTCCAGGACCCCAAAATACCAAAATTCTGAAGTTTCATCATTACTATAATATGTAAAAAAATTAGCTTTAAATCCACTAATTATAACATAAACACTATATTTTCCTCTAAGGTGAAACACAACACATTAAGTCCCACTATAAAAAACCAATAACGAATGAAAATCTAATTAACATTTTTACTGCTACCTACTACATAATTAATCGCCTTATGCAAATATGCAGCCATTACTATTCAATCAATTTACAAATTGATCTCAAAACTTACAAATTATTGTAACTAAAATAAACTAAATTATTATACTAAACTAAAAATGATAATTAAAATAATAATTTGAAAATAAACGATTCAAATTCGAGTATAACCTGCGCACCTGGAAGCAACGTCCACGAGGCGCGAAATTTAAATCCGTTTACGAATTTATTGACAATATGAAAGAAAGTGGAAAGTTAAACAGAACGTTCTTGTTATTAACGCGATGATAATAATCTCTGGTACTTCTGACATGTATCTCAATCTCGAAACATCTGTAATTTGTAATGTTAAACAACTCAAAGACAGCATTCTACGCAACATGCGATAGAAATTGAAACACAAGAGGGAGAGAAACAATAAATTACTTTCGATGCTTACGATCCGTAACGATGGAACGATCGAAATCCTTTATGCAAATCGAAACACGTAATTCTTGTTTTGCTGAAAGCTCTCGAACCGTGTATTTTATGTCGGTAGCGATTCATTATAATATATTTCCATAAAAATCGTACAGGTTACGAGAAGAGGGGAGAAATGGTTTAGTCGGAGAGACCAGGTTGACTGGCAAGTTTTTAGACAATATATAAGAAGTGTATCGACTTACATATAGAGTTTCCTTTATACTTGACATTCCTTTCGATCAGCCCTACGGTTCATGCTCATGCTTTTCATCGAGCTTTCTGTTTTCAAACAATTGTGCATCCTCTGCAGTAATTATTAGTAAATTCGTAAGTGTGTACTTTTACTTGGAATATCCTTCTATTACTATTAAATTTTTGGCTCAAGATTACATAACTGTTAAAAAAATAAATAAATGGCTCGTTAAATAAATAATTAATTGTTGCACGATTTTTTTCAATTTTTGACACAGACACATTTTTGAACTTATTGTTACAAGAATAACATAAAGAATAACGTTAGATAAATATTTCTAACGTTATGAAAATAACTAATTTGAGATAAATTAATTAAGAGATTATTTCTCAAATTCATTAATTTAAGATGATATAAAAAAAATGTAATTGCAGGAGAAACGAAATATTTTCAATAATTTTGTTAATTATGAGTTAATTAGAAAAAATGATATCTCAATTTTATTTTAATATCATTTATGCATCTGATCTGTATGGGGTGGGGGTTAGATGGTGAACTTGAAATCTTATTATATTATGGATCATTCATTTTAAAATTTTTGTGTTTTATAATATTTTTTAAGCATAAATATGATGATAAATAATGTATAAGATGTGATAAAATTCTAGTGGTTTTCAAATCCCAAAGTTGCAAAATTTCTAAGTTCCAAAGTGTCAAAATTCAAATATTCTAAAGTTTAGAGATTTCAGATTGTAAGATTTAAAACCCCCAAAACATTCAGAAATTCTGAAGTCCAGAATTTCAAAAATTTCAAGAACTCAATGTCTCAAAATTTTTAAATTCCAGAGTCCCAAAATCTCAAAATTACAGAGTTCCAAAATTCAACAATTCTGAAAACCCAAGTCCCCAAAATTAAAAAATTTTAAAACTTTCACGTCCCAAAATATCAAAATCAGGATCTAAATATCCCAAAATTCTAAAATTTTTTAAATTAAAAAATTGTAAAACTCTCATGTTCCAAAATATCAAAAATCCAACACCCAAATACTCTAAAATTCTAAAATTTGAAAACTCCAAAACCTCAAAATCTCATAGTTCTAAAATTCTAAAATCTCATCATTCCAAAATCCCAAGGCCCCAAAATTCAAAGGACTCAAAATCCCAAATACACCAAACTTCTAAAATTCTAACCCCCTAAAGTTTTTAAACCCCAAAATTGTAAAACTCCAAAGTTTCAAAATCCCAAAATTTGAAATATTTCAAAATCCCAAGGTCCTAAAATTGCAAGCATAAAAAACTCCAAATACATAAAAATTCCAGAACTCCATACCACCAAAGCTTGAAAACTCCAAAATTCCAAAACTCTAAACCATCAAAGCTTGAAAACCCCAAAATTCTAAAACTGTAAACCAACAAAACTTGAAAACTCATAAATTCCAAAACTCCAAACCACCAAAGCTCGAAAACCCCAAAATTCCAAAACTCCAAACCACCAAAGCATCAAACCCCAAAATTCTAAACCCCCAAGCCCCAAAAATATCAAATTTCCAAAATTCTAAAACACCAAATCCCAAAATCCCAAAATTTAAAAATCCAAAAATCTCAAAACTCACAACGTCTCAAAATCCCAAACTCAATTCGTGGTACCCAAAGAATCAAAATGGTCCCACCCCGTTCGCTCCACGTCCCTAAAACGAACGGTAAAAAAAGGCTCACGTATCGCGGTAAAAACGTGATGTTCATGATAAAATTGGAATGATCGACGAGGCAAGAGGGGTCCATTATCGAGGGAAGAAAGTGAAAGTGCAAGAAGGCGAGTGAATGAACGAAGAAACGAGTATGGCAAGCAAAATGAGAAGCGTGTACAAAATGGTGGTGGAAGGGGACGAAAAGGGGGAGGGAAGGAAAGATCTTGAACGCATTCTTAACGATGCTCGAACACGAAGGACGAAAATTGGTACACCCGTGAATACAACCGAGCAAAATCGGCTCGTCGCGGTGAAAGTGGTCGACAAGAAAGTCGAATAGATTTTTCGTCGTGTTCCCTATAAATATCTACGCGTGCCACGACTCGGAACGAAGTGCAATCCCGTAAGAAACAAATTCACGTTCATTCGACTCGCCAGTCTCTCCCTTCTCTCCGAGAGACCTGCATTCCTGCAGAGTAGAGGAGGATATAACGATCGGCCGACACCATTTTGCTACAACGTGCGACTCTAGCCTTCCTTTTCTCTCTCGGCCCTAACGAACGTTGCAACAGTTCAACTTTTTCGAGGTTCCAACAGACCTTAACCATTTCGGACGCTGCCGCATTTCTGCATGCTTGGGAAATTTTCACATTTCGTAACTTGAGTTTCTAGTAATCGGAAGGGTTAACCCTGTTTTGGTCGTTGAAGATGTACTATAGCTTTTTGTATTCGGACAAAGGATATATAAAATTTTTATATTCTTACGAAGGTAATTTTTAACCCTTTGTGGACGTGTTAGCTGCTTTGTAACTTTCTAGTTTAGTTGTTTTAGTTGTTTCTCTTCTGAGGTTAGTGTTTGTCACGAACGTCTGTTTTGAATATTTGTTTAAGTAAAACATGACAACAATTTTATTGTTGTGTTAAAACGAATGATGAGTCACCTTTCGCGACAGGTATATTAATTATTATTTTATTGCGTCTTTTTATGATGCTAAAAGTTTCTAAAGACATAAAGTAGTAATGGATCGAAAGAGAAGAAACTAAAATCAGAGTAAAAGGGGGTATTCGAGACGTTCACAACTAGTAATATTTAAAATTTTTAAATTTCAACACTCCAAGGACCCAAAATTCTAGAGTACTATAGCTATAAAATATTGGAGACCTTCAGTCCCAAAATCTGAAGTTTAGAAATTCTAAAGTCCCTCAGTAATGAATTCCACAGTCCCTAAATCCACAAATTTAAAAATTCCAAAGTCTCTAAGTCCACAAATTTAAAAATTCCAAAATCTCTAAGTTCACAAATTTAAAGATTCAGAAATCTCTAAGCCCACAAATTCTAAATTCCCGAACTTTGTAAGACCAGAAATTCAAAAATTCCACAGTCCAGAAGTCCCTAAGTCCCTCAGTCCACAAATTCTACAATTCCAAACTTCCTTAGTCTATAAATTCCAAAATCCCAAAGTCTCTAAGTCCATAAATTCCAAGACCTCAAACTCCTTAAGTCCATAAATCTCAGAACCCCAAAACTAGAAAATTCTGAAGTCCCCAGTATTCCAAAATCTAAACTTTCAAAATTCTAAAGTTGCTAAATCCACATATCCCAAGATTTCAAAGTCCCTAGTCCCTGTGGATTAGTCCTAGTCCCTTTGGACCTATATCCAAAGATCCCAGAAACCCTAAATTCACAAACCGTCAAAATTCAAAAGCTGAGTCCCAAAATCCAAGTCCTGAAGTGTGAAGCTTCCAGATCCAAATCCGAGAACCACCCCGCCAACCTCATCATCGACAACCGATAATTTCCTTTCCAGAAAGTTACAAAACGAGTCAACCTCGAGCGACCATTTTTGTCAAAGAATCGTTTCCCAATTGCGACTAAGATTCAACCAGTCGCAAAGATGAAATGAAACTTGTTCCCCTCCGTATCTATCAATTTATCCTGTCACTCGTTGCCAACTTTTGCCGTGAAGAGTTACGTTAACACGACCGGTATTTCATATTCTTATATAACGGAAAATTATCAAAGAGAACGAGCTTGCAAGAACGAGCGTAACGTTTGCTGGACGTTAGAAGGGGTTACCAGTGACTCGGTCTGGCTATCGTATCACCGCTTGCTTATTGGCACGACAGCGATTCGATTGTTCTTATTTCTCGTTCGCGTTCGTTTCGATCCCGATATAACAGGTTCTCGCGACTGGTTCTACCCAGTGGAAGCGGTACCACCGGTCCCCCGAACGGCGTTGCTTTACGCCAGCGAGTTTCTCAGTAAGCCGGAGTTGGCGTATGCAGATAATTAGCCGACTGCCACAACGCGGCTTTACGTTAAATTCATCGTGCACGCAGCCAGAGAAAAGAGAAAGCCAATTTGATTTCGAGAGTATGCTGCATTGGTCGTCGTCGAGCACGTAACGCAACGGACAGTTGGCATTTAAGCGGGAACAACAGGAAAGAAAGAACCTGCTGCCAGCACGGTGAAAATAATATAGCGGTAGACCGTTCTGGTGAGCGGTTTAACTCGGGACACTACTGTTTTTCCTTATCAGCTTAATAACTTGTGAGATACAGGTTCTCGGAGAACTGTTTTACGCATTGGCGTAGCTTGCTGGGGTGCTGCTGAATAGAAGTTGACGAAATGGTGTGAAGGCCCTTGTAGGGAAAATGGCGATATAAGGGAAGAAAAAATCGATGTATGACTTGAGAGTTATATTACGCTTAGTTTTGTGACTGGTAAGATTTTTTACCTCTGTCGCCTTTTTTGGGGAAGTATTCACTTCTCTATGCTTGGTCGCCATTTTCTTTAGGGGGAGCACACGTGGGAGATAATTCCTTAGGTATCTTCTCCTTGAGTCGACATAGCGACATTTTCTTTAGGGAAATACAATGTTTAGTTTTTCTCTAAACCTTCTTACGTTGCAGCGTCATTTTCCCCAGGTGCTAACTTCTGCAGAAATTCAAACATTTCAAGGTTGTAAAGTTCTAAACCTCCAACGTCCAAAGTTCCACAGTCCCAACATCTAAAAACCACTATGATACCAAACCCACTCTAGACAAAAATCCCATACAATCATATCTAAACTCTCTACAACGAATCTGTTAACTTTAAACCCGAAACAACTAGTATAGAAACAATAATTGCTTCTGAAAGATACAAAGGTGAAGGTCACATGTGTTGACCATTGCAAAGTCATTGCGTAAGGTTCTGGTACCCAAGTTTTATGACAAATAATGTTTTATTAAAGTTGTTGGCATTCGTCACCGCGTTGGTTTCGGCCCAATTTAACCAGGACATTGACGGTGGTTCGCCACCAAGGAGTTTACCAGCCCCTTTGAGATCAGCACGGTTCCAGAGGCTACCATCAGCCAGGCCAGCTATCCCAACGCAGGCTGCACTTGTAAATCAGCGACTTGCAGGTGCACGTCGACCTATTACATTCAGGTAATTACAATAGCCAGAAGAAGTGGTCCAACATCCTTACTCTCATCCATAGTGTCCATCATTAAAGACCTAACATCCTTACTTTCATTTTGTTTCTACTTAAACTTTGATTCATCTGATTCATCTCAGTCATCAGATCCTAAGGAATCCAGAAAACGTTTAAAATTGTCTAAATGGTCAATGTTTCCTTCATTTTCTCTGAGCAGGCCCAAAGGAGCTGAAGATTCCGTAGCAACAGGTCCAGGAGCTTTAACGTCATTCAAGCCCTTACGACCTAACTTGCCCAATCTACCAAGTGGGCCACCATCCCTCCCTCAGCACGTAAAACCAGTGAACGAAGAGCCGGAGGAAGATGTGCGAAACCGAGATACGGCACGTGATCACAGTAACCAGGACGACGATTCGGAATTAAGCGAGGAACAGAGTGAGAGTCAAGACGAGAGCGAGGAGAACGTGCCACGTGCCATAGCAAATCTTGGAGCAGTTGGCTCGATATCCAGAACTTCTGGGCCCACAGCTCAATCACTTCCGGTACAGTACCGTCCTCAAACATCTTCACTGCCAACTGGCAGAGGGGGTGGAATACAAGCTACACCGGCTCCACAACCTGTACAGTACAGGCCAGCTCCTAAACCTAACAAACCCAGGAAACCTATAGAGGAGCCCTTCAAGCAACAAGTGAAAGCTCCTACAAAAGTTGTGAAGACTGCACAGTCTTATGATGGCCGTGGAAAGAAACCAGTTGCACAGGTTAGTAAGGGATGATACAGGGTTACTTGGCAGAATGGTTTATGACAATACTCTTTGTAGAATAATATCAATTACATTGTTACATGTTATACTGCATTGTATTACCATGCATTGTATAACCATGTTACATTAATACAGATTGTATTGCCATGTATTACATTATCACATATTGTATTTCTATGCATTGTATTACCATGCATTCTAGTGCCACATATCACATTACCATGTAATATTGCACCCCACATTGCATTGTATTACCATGTGTTACATGCTTTGTGTTGTCATCTATTACCATGCTTTGTATTGACACAGTACTTTACTATGCATTGTATAGACATAGATTATATTACCATTGAACTATCATTCACTAAAAATCTAGGGAGAGTCTAAAGATCTAGGAAGAATTTAACCTATACAGAACCTTCTATTCTTCTACGCTTACATTTATCTAATCACCTGTGTTAAATGCACATACAATACATATGTATGTACATATAATGCTATTCTTCATAGCATAAAATGTCCCTGTTTGTTACAGTATACAGATATTAATTGAAGATGCTCTAAGTCCAATTTGAATCATTCATAACTACAAGTATCTTCAGTTCTAGTATTTCAGTTCAATTTTAGAATTGAAATGGATCTATGTACCTTTTTATACTGCATCTACTGATCATAGAAACTTGATACATCGATTTCGCAATCTGTACTTTCACAAGAATTCAATCTGTACAGTTACTTAGTCAGTCAAATGAAATCCTTGGAACCTACACCCTGATCATGTCACACATATCTCTCCAGATTAAGAAACCGATACGAATGTTATAATCCCCTAATAAAGCGCATATAAAAGTAGATATCGTGGTTTAATAACGGAAGTAATTAAAATTCCTAACATTATCTAAGCGATTCTAACGTTATTTCCTAAAAGTAGAACATGAAACCTGTAGCTAGTTATGTAATATCAGGAGAGAGTAATATCAAACGGCGCATAATCAGAAGTAAATGTACGATGGAATAAAAAAAGTTATGTATATACATATAATGCGTTTACATGTTTTGTAACAGATTATCAGACGATATCGCAACGATAATCCGGATGGCTCAATCACTTGGGGCTTTGAGAATGACGATGGATCTTACAAAGAAGAAATAATTGGCATCGATTGCATCACTAGGGGTAAATATGGTTACATAGATCCAGACGGTATCCGACGTGAATACACTTACGAAACTGGCATTAAGTGTGACGAAGAACAACGCATAGAAGATGAAGAGAACGGGTTTGTCGATTATCAAGAAAACAAATTAGTACTCCCCGACGGCAAAACCATTGATCTTTCTAGCATGGGTAAAAAACAAGGACGCAGGCCTAATTACGTTCACAGAAATTAAAAAACTTTCTATTTAATTCTTTTCTTCGTTTGAAAGAAAACACGTTTAAAAGTTATCCAAGAACAACGAAGAAAATAGTTTCCTGAGCTCTTATCGTTACAATAAAATATAATATAAATTAAATTTGTACCGCCCTATTTGACGAAGAAAAAGTATCGAATGAAGAGAATCGTATACGGACAAAAAACATTAAATAATTTATTTCATTTAAATATCGATTTACTAATACAAATTTTGTTGCATTTTCTTCGTGTTGTTCGAAATCTGTTAAATAGAATTATTTAGTATGTATGTAATATTGTGTACATATAAATGTAGGTACCTGTATTGAGTCAATCGAATAAAGATCACAAAATATATGTGATGCGTTGTGCAATGTTATTGAAGATCATTAAATTATAACAAACGATTCTTATTTCTAACTAATATTAGTTGTGTACCTTGAAAATATGTCTAAACACATCCGATTTGTCGTACAACATATTCTGTCGTACACCTTCATCCCTCCTTTAACGCGTACGATCATAAATAAATTAAGATTACTATTTACTCATTTGTTACCATAATTTGGAGTACGACACGAAACGACTAAATTATCATTCAAAATTAAATACAAAAGAAGTACAAATACTCGTGTATATCAGTAATTCATATACAGTATGAACACAATACTGATCGAACGTATTATATTGCTTGTACGTGTAGACAAATATTGTTCAAAAATATCATTTCAATATCAACAGATATTAAACCTTACGAAGTAATGTACAGTTTCATCAGCTTACAATATATATAAAGAAAAAGAGGTTACAAAATATGCGTCTTTTATATGTATATCATCTCCTTATTATACAAGTATAGATAAGATCATTAAATACCGTGATTCGGTGATGACTCGAATGTATGTACGTGAATACGTGCATACTTAAGTAAAAAGATAGCGTTGTTAATCGATCAAGTCAATTTGTGCCTTATTGTTAGCGTTTCACATTTAAATGTTATAACAAGGAACGTACGATATAAATCCTTCTCATAAAAGCAACGATATATCTCAAAAGTGGTCCACTTTTATGATTCATTGATAAACTTTCTATTTTAAAATTAATATGCAGGACTCGCAACTGTTGATACTTGTTTAGGAGTATGCTGACCCTGTGCTAACATACCACTCCTTGCTCCCTGGAACTTCAGCCAGGCATCATAGCCGTAAGCTACCATGGCACAAAATCCAAAGAACTGTAAAAGAAATATAAGAAAGTATTAATGAAACTCATGGAAGAGAAACTAGTATCAAGAAAAAAAAACAGTTAAGAATCCATGATTCATTTTTCTGATTATTCTATGCACTATATAAAACTTACTGCTGCAACTCCAAAAGCCTCTACGTATCGAGCATAATCTGCTGCTAGTGAAGCGGCTAATAAATAGAAAGCAGTCCAAATTGCGCAAAATATGAACTCCTGCAAATGCACATATATTATTTTCCTAATGTTTATCATTTTATGTTTAAAAAAGATGTTAAAGCGTAATAATAATGTTAAATAACTCAGAAAACCTTCAAATCAATATGTAGTATGTTAAATTTTAAAATGCCCCAATTATTGTGACTGAAATCAATAGTTCACCTCCACACAAAAATAGCTTGTGCCTTAATTTTTTAACAGTCTTCTATTTTGGAACTATCAAAGCCTTTCCAATATAACCAAGAATAAGTAAATTATGCATAAGAAGCTGATTTTATCTTTTTGTGACTCACAATTTTTAGCCAAGGAATTTTTGAGAATTTTTCAATGATATGAAACAGGTAAAAGACAAGCAGTATCCCTGTGAACCAAAAACCACCCATTGCCACTGTGTTGAACCATCCTCCACGACTGGAACTGCTTTGACTGGAAACTGTGATGCATATGAATCCCAAAAGATTCAAAACCTAAAAAGGACATGTTCAACATTAATATAAATCCTCAGAAATTTCAAATTTGGAAGTTAAAAATGTCAAATTTCTAAATTTGAAGACTTGTGATGATATAGCACTGAATATTTGAGGTGCCAGAATGTATGTCTTAGATAACCGCGTCAGTAAACACCCAACTCTATCCAAATATATAATCAACTTCGATAATAAAAAGATAAATATTAATACTTCATGATTGCGCTCGTATACGCAATATTTTATTTGTAATCGGTATATACTATCTACATATTTCTCGATGATAATAAAGAAGCTTCTTGATATAAAAGCAAGGAATTTATCAATAAGAATTAAATTTACGCGCATACTTACCACTTGGGCAACTTTAAGAATTCCAGGTAATGTTCTTGTGTAAGAAGCATCAAATCGAATAGTTGGTTGTGTTGTAGTGGTAGTAGTGGTTACTGTTGTGGTAGTAGTGTGCTGACCGGGGAATCCGTGGTCCACCATTGTTCCTTTCTTCTTTTTTGGTCACTCTATAAGTATTAAAATGAATTAGTAATTAAGTTCCTTATACATGACGCAAATCAATACAAACTGAAATCTAATTTGACGGAAATTCGAACATTAAAACTTGTAATTGGTGAGCAGTATAGGCTCCTCTTGGAAATTTGAAAGTTTAGAAAGTTTAGAAAAGTTAGAAAATGTAGAAAGTTAATATGTGTATTTAAAAATTTGAGGATTTGAAAATTTGTATCTTTGTACATTGAATAATCCCTACCCTGCACCCAAGTGTTTAAACGTCCAATAAAACCGGAAATAATGATTAGTTATCAAACAATGTTTCGATTGTTTCTCAAAGCAATTCGATTAATCAATTCAATATTTCCGTTTTCTTACTTGATAACTGTACAGTTGATGCGGTTGATTGAGTTTAACGAATTAAATCGTATAAATCGTACTGAAACGATACGAAAAAAGCCCGCCGTATTGATTACGAGCTATCGTACAAACGCAAAAGGCGTAAACGCGTTGCGTCGCAGATAACAGAGAACAATCTCGTTAGACTTGATCCTGGATTGAAGCTGTTCGACAAAATTATGTCATATCCCGACAACAAATTATAGGAATTACTTAATTTTACAATGTGAGATCATCCCTACTGGAAATAGAAAATGACAGGCTTTCTATCGTATGCACAATCAAGAGTGAAGCAGCGATGAACGAATATATGCGTCACATACATTTAAGCGTATACATACGTACGCATGTGGGCGGTGGATTCGATTGTATGGAACGTTATCGCGGTTAAAATTCCGGATCTAATTACGAATATTAAAAACTTGCAGAATACGATAGTACGCGGTAAAATATAATCAATGAAGAAGGAGCAAGATGCACTAAAGTAACTTGAATGTATGTTTTTGTAATGGGGTGATATTTTGAATATTTTATTATTGTATTTCCTCTATCGCTGAACCGGTATTGCGGACTTTGCACAAGAAAAATAAACATTTTTATAAATTATTAGCAATACATTTGAATTGTTCCGTGTACCTATATAGCAGTAAATAATGACTCAAAAACAATGGTGACCTGTAGCTATTACCGTTCAATTAGCACGAAATAGCGGGAAAAGTTAATCGACGTTCTTTGTATGCAATTAGGACAATGTTATCATAACTATATTTTCTTTAGTATACTTCGCTTTCGTGCTTACTGCGTTTCTACTATTTACACAAATCGTTTCGCTTTTTGTTACTATTTCTTGCGTGACCACACCGTGAATACCGAGACATTGTTTCTATGTGTATGATGTATACTCTACCTGAGTTGACAGACTGACCTAAACACTCAATTATATCCAAACGCTGTATATTTACTGTACATAAAGTGAAAGTGATCCGTCCTATAAACACTTAGACACAGGAAACTCGAATTTCTTTTTAACAAAACTGAGTACATGTATAAATAGTAAGAAAAAATAATAGCAAATCCGTTTTGAAACAAGCCACACTATTACGAATGGACATATGAAACGTGGTACGTAGTACATACGAGTGCGGTCTGTATGGTTTTGCCCCACTTTTCGTTTACTTATAGTTCTCTCTGGCGGAAGGATTTATAAGTAAACGCATAAACTCGATAGATAAATAGAATACAGAAATTTATTCTTTCCAACTGAAGGCAGTACAGATCAATAACAAAATTTGTGAAATTCTTATGTAATAATTTATTTACATTGAAGTACAGACTAGTGTATACAGTAAAAAAATTAATGATTTAGTCGTTATAATTACATGGTTTTTATTAGATTTGATCCATACTTAGCTCTTTTATGCATTTTAACAGAATAAATGACATTTTCGTAACGTAAATTAGTGTATCAAACCAGTTTATTACAATTTTATAAAAAAGCAGCTAAAATGCCGTTTATGCTTGGTAAAGCACCTATACGAAGGTCCTTAAAGTATTTAAATGCTGGTAGATTAATTTTAAAAGACGAAATACAGATATTTTCTATTAATTATAACACACATGGAGAACATCACAAAGGAATTAGGTAAATTTTAGGTTATATTTACTGAAATTGTACCATTTTATACCAATAATTATTATTTTATAATATAAATCTAATTTAGGGATTTTATATTTTGGCATCTTGGCCAAGTTCAACATAAAAATCCAAACGTGCAGGTTGTTACTTTTAAAAACATAACACCAACACCTTTTGTAAAATGTTATTATCGTAAGTACTGGAATGTATTCTTATTACTTTCCATATTATCAGAACATTTATTCAGAATAATATGTTTTGATTTCAATTTTATGTAGGCAATGGAAATACTATGTTGGTTGATGTAGATAGCAAATCTAAGGATGATATATTAATGCATCTTCGACAAGTAGTTGGCAAATCAAGTGATGTTCTGAGTGAAGAAGAGATACGTCATGAAAAGAAAGATAATCCTGCAAACTTTGGTGTTGGTTGTCTTCGAACCTGTATTTGTGTAATACCTGGTCAGATACCATGTCCCTCTATTATACCTTTACCATATCATATGCGTGGAAAATATATATTCCAAAAGAAGGGCGAGGAATCATAATGTAATAATTGTTTCATAAATACAATAAAAATTATTATATAAAATTCTTAGTGCTTATTTTATTTAATTTCTTATCACATCTTAATTTCTTATCTTTTAAATTTTTCAATGTCATAAGGATGGTACTGTGTATTGCAATACAGTATATATTTAAAGTATATATTTATTTATTATAAAAAGATATCATAGATTATGAAAATACATGTACATTAATGTACATATCAAGCATCGCATTATTAATGAATTAAGGTATTTGTTCATTCAATATGCAGTGGCACTGCTGTAATAATTATGTTAATTGGTGAGAAAAAGACTAATTAAAAAAATAGGATTTTATAATAAAAGAAATTAAATTAATACATAGAAATTATTTAAATAGAAAGTATAAATAATATAAATATCAACTAGTCATGGAACAGCATCGATCAATAAAAATAAATTCATTATTGTTAATTATAATACTATAAATTAGAAAATATGATTTAAATTATCTTCTGGGTTTATGACGATTGTATGGCTTATTGTTATGATAATGACCACTTCGATTATGATAACGGGTTGACGTGGACGGTTTTGGAGTTTCCGATTTTTGATATAAATGTATTACAGGTGACCCATTCAAAGGTTTGTTTAATTCAAACTCCTCCTCTGATTCTTTCATCAATTTTAACTTTGCTTCTATAGCTTGAATTGCTGTTTCTCGACTATAAAAAGGTAATAAAAGATATGACAAAAATAATTTTATTAATACAGGTATTTATAATATAATAGTTTACCTTATTCTTTTATCTTCTTTTTTAGCTCCAGCTAAAGCAGGTATATCTATTTTTGGCTTTGGCTTGTCCATATCAGACTTAAATAAAATAAATAACATCAGTACCATGTATTTATTGTATACAAGTTTCTAATATTAAGACATTTTTTACATTATGAATAAATAATAATATACTATTGCATTATTTATTTTATTGTTTTAATAATTACCTCTGTCACACTATGAGCCCATCTAACAATAATATTTTTTGCTCCTACTTTTAAATTATGTAAAGCATCTTTGGCTGCTCTTGCATCTTGAATTGTCTTATAGGTAACGAATGCGTATCCTCTAGGTTGACCAGCTTGTGGACCCGATCGATGGAATAAGAGGTCGAACTTTTCGATTGTTCCATGTTTTTGGACGAGTTTTAGGAGTTGGTACCAGTAAACAGATAAAGAATTAGTTTTTTTAGATTTTTCTATCAGATAAAGGAACTGTAGTATTTTTCAATTATGAATTATCATGCTAAGAGAATATAATAATTTGAGTAAATACTTACTCGTTAATTCTTAAATCTAAATTGCCCACCCATAATCTTCTATCCTCCACTTGATTTGATTTTATGGGTTCTAGTGGCAAAGGAACTTTAACAACTGGCTACAAATGAAAAAATGTTATTAAGAAAATAGCAATATACCCTATGTGAAGTATTTAATACATTTGTTTGGTCTAATACAATCGAATAACCTCTATAGAATAGAAACAAAGCCTTACCTCCATCTTAATAAAGTTTAAAAGGATATATCAAATTACACAAAGAAGCTTTAAGCGTCAATAAGTAGTTTCAAAATGTATTTTTGTACAAAATTGGGCATTATACTTCAAATATTTATAGGAAATGGTACAAATACAGCGAATCGTTCACACACTCAATCACGGCAGTTTAGCAAATCCTTCATCCTTACGGACAATAATCACAAATGACATAATATCTAAATATCTATTAAATAATTGAAATAGGTTAATTGAATATTCTTTAATGTATATAGAATATGTTCCAAATATAATTATAGATTTAAATAAATATGTACATTTTGTCACCACAATTTTTTATAACATCTTTGTAATTTACTTTAAATCTTTCAAATTATATTTAATATTTTTGAACTATGATTGAACTAAATATAAGTATATAAATCTAATAGACGTGAAAGGATTATCTTTCATACATAAATAAGTGAAAAGATTCTTGTTTGTTTGCACGTGCGTGTATTACAAATTGTAAACACTTCTTATATATATTAAATATGGCGACGGTCTTATCGGATTACGAATGACGGCAGGATATTGTTATAAATAATCAAAATATTAGATAACGGTGAAAGAATTATACATTGTTTTGTTGCGCTATTTTATAAAAGATATATTCCAGATGGAGAGACCGATGATGTCTGAACAATCTGCTCAAATACACACGGAAACTGTTTTAGAAACAGATACTACAGATTCTGGATCTCAGGTACGTTTATTACGTGTTTTTATTACTGCTACGTCATTATTTCGGCATGATAAGAATCATTTTAAGATAGAAATATATTTTTTTTATTTTTGATATATTAAAAATATGGTAGATAAAATATAAAATGATATGAAAAGGGCAAATGTTTAATGCTATATTTGGTGTAAAGTGTGATTGATAAAATTATGGGATTGAACAGCTTTTTAATAACTGAAGTCAATATCAGTTGAAGTGAAAATAAATACAGATTCAGTGTGTTGGAAGACTAATAAGTATTATTTTGAAGAAACATTAACAAAGTAGTGAAAACAATACACAATGTTTACTATTACATCAAAATGGATGAAACCAAAGTATTTATTAAATACATATAGTTTCAAGAATTGGCAAGGTTTATGTACAAGTACTGAAGATTACAAATCACCTTTGTCTGATGTGCGCGTGTTAGATTTAACACGAATTATTGCTGGTCCCTATTGTACTATGATTCTTGGAGATCTTGGTGCTGAGATTTTAAAAGTTGAGAAACCAGGTAGTGGAGACGAAGCACGAAAATGGGGTCCACCATTTATAAAAGACACACAAGAGTCAGTGTATTTTCTTAGTGTTAATAGGAACAAAAAGAGTATATGTATTGATCTGAAAGAAGGTAAAGACATAATCTTCGAATTAGCAAAAAAGTGTGATGTTCTGGTAGAAAATTATATTCCTGGAAAACTGAAGCAAATGGGTTTAGGGTATGAAGATATCTCTAAGATTGCACCTCATATTATATATTGTTCTCTGACTGGTTATGGATATGAAGGACCTTATGCAAATAGACCAGGATATGATGTGATTGCTGCTTCAGTAGGAGGTTTGTTGCATATAACAGGTGAAAAAGATGGACCACCATGTAAAGTAGGAGTAGCAGTAACTGATATAGCTACAGGTTTATATGCTCATGGTGCTATATTAGCAGCACTATATCAAAGAAAAAATACTAATAAAGGACAATGGATTCAGTGTAATTTATTAGCAACACAAGTTGCTGGTTTAATAAATATTGGATCAAATTACCTAAACGCTGGTAAAGAAGCAGTACGGTGGGGTTCTGAACATGAAAGTATTGTACCTTATGAAGCTTTTCCTACAAAAGATGGATATATGACTGTTGGAACTGGAAGTGATATACAATTTATAGATTTAGCAAAAAGAATGCAATTGACAGAATTACTTAATTCTGATAAATATAAAAATAACAAGGCTAGAGTGGAAAACAGAAATGAATTGTTGCCACTTCTTAGAAAAAAATTCAAAACAAAATCTAATAAAGAATGGGCACTCGTATTTGAAGGTGCTTCATTTCCATATGGTCCAATAAATACAATAGGACAGGTATAAAGTAATAAATGTTTGTATTAAAATAATTTGAAAATAGTCTTTATACAAGACAATCTTATAGGTTTTCGAAGATCCTCAGATAAAGCACATGAAAATGGTACAAGATTTGGAACATTCCACAGGGAACAGAGTTAAAGTTGTTGGCCCTGCTGTAACATACAGTTATGCCACGAATAAAGCTCGCTTTGCACCTCCTATGTTGGGACAACATACTGATGATATATTAAAAAATATTTTAAATTATACTGATGATGAAATAAAAGTTTTAAAGAAGAACAAAATAGTGCAATAGAAAATATTAAGTTTGATAGACATTATATATTTTTAGTGTTATAATTTAATTTTGATCAATCATGTTAATTAACTATGTATATTATATAAATATTTACAAAAAATAAATATTTTTTTAAATAGAATTGTATACTTCATTGGAATTCTGTTTTTAATCATTTCATGTGAATGTAAAATATAATAAATTTTTTATGTTCTATTTCTTTCAGGATGTGCCAACAGTTCGATTACGACTTAGAAAGCCAAGATCAAATAAGAGGGTTCAGTGGACTCAAGGGACAGTGGATAATGAACATATGAATAAAAAGAAATCAAAATGTAAATTTTCATTAGCCAAAATTTAATTTGATACTGTATATGAAATAAGATATTTATTTTTAATAGAGTCATTTATGCATAAATATGTACTTTATTCAATGTTGTAGGTTGTTGTATTTATGAAAAGTCTCGAACTTTTGGTGAAAGCAGTTCTGAAGACAGTGATGACGAATGTGAACATTGCCATGGACATAAAGATGCTCATAAAAAGATTATGCAACACAATGCGGAATCGTCTAAGGAAGAGATGTCTCCAACTCCTGGTAACTTAATTACTTAAGAAAAATATTAATACTAAATGTAAATAAAAACTGGATTTTTTTAATGCTGTTTTGCAGAATCAATAGTAAATGCGTCTATATAAATGTGTTCGGTGATATAAATAATTTTCATAATTGAAAAAATATACTTATGATTTAAAAATCAATGTTGTATAGAAAAGAAATATGAAGAATAGGTATATAACTTTATTTGTTACTGTAGTTATATATTATAGAAGACATAATATAGTAATAAATATAAATTGTTAATTTTTATTTTACAGGAAATTTGAATTATCAGTGGAATCACTGCAATTTTAAATGCAGTTATGTTATTAGTATTTATGCTATTGGCATTGATATTTTTGAATAAGTATTGAAAGTTTGACTTACAATACTTATATTCTTAATAATAAAATATTGGTAGGGCATATTGTTATTGCTAAAAACAGAAAGAAGGAAAATATAGAATTTTATTATTTATGAAATGAATCTCTATTACACTATCTAATACTTATACAGTATATTGAATGAAAATAAATTTATTAATTATAATGATCACTGAATAACTCAATACGTATATTGTACACATATACGTACATATTTTGTTGAATGTAATAGAAGTAATTATAGTTCCTATATTGCATAATGTCAAATATGCAAATTAAATTAGCATTTTAAATATAGTTGTTTAAAACAAAGTCAATCAAAATCAAGTTTTGAAATCATAATTATAAGTGCTTTAGAACTTTATTAACAGATCCCAACATCTTTTAAATAGTATTTATTTAAATATCATATATTACATACAAATTTTTGTTGACATAATACTAGTACACTTGTACATGTTAACACTTATAATAACAATCTGTGTTTCCTGTTGATTTTCTTTAATTACAATGTTTGCCTCGTATGATTTTTATGACTAAAACATCTTTATTTTGAATAATCTTGTTGTATATATATACATATATATAACAATAATTAAAACATAGATTTTATTTTAATTGAAAGTTTCTTATTTAAAATATATCTACTTATAAATAAGATAGTTATTTGTACAGTTTTATTAATATATTATTTATTTATAAAAAGTCGTTCATCCCTATTTTTATCTTTATTTGTAAAAATAAATGAAATGAATACCATTTTAAAGCTTGAATTGAACGAACTATGTACATAATTTTTTTAATAGAGATTGTTTCCTTGCTAATTAATGATTTAATAAATATTTACTAAACACCTGTATATTATTACAATTTTGTTTTAAAGTAATTTAAAAATATCAGTCAAAAAGAAGAAATATTATTAATTAAAAATATGTCAGTTGTAAAAAACTCTCACTTTTATGCGTTATGAGTTTAAAAATATGTAGTAATCTATTTATCATTTTATGTATGTACATACAAAGTGTGATAACAAAATAAAATCACACAAATATATCAGCCTTGTTCATTAAATAAGTTATAAATATTTAATGTTTAGCAATAAATAAAAGAACGAATTCTTTTTTTAATTATTAAAATAATAAATAAATGTTTAAAGACTAAAATCAATAAACATGTAATTATAATTGTCTTTCACACTAATTTCATTTAAAATAGAATTTATAATTTTGTGTGATTTCACAGAAGTTTTTTAATCCATTGTAAATGTAAATACAAAATATAAATTTATAGTAATCTCAGAAAATTTTAAACAGAGATTTTAATAGGAAGTTCAATCGTTTTTAATGGATCAATATTTCTACTACTTTTTTGAAACTTTTGTCTGTTTCTTACTTCCATACCGCTAGGATAAGAATCTTCGTTCAATCCTAATTCTCTGACTGTGTTGCGACTACGCCATACTTTAACAGTGTAATCGTCACTAGTTGTAACTAACATTTCTGGATCGCGTGGATTGAAGGCAACCGAATTCACGACATCCAAATGTGGGAATTTTGCTAAACATACACCATAATGTCTATCCCAAAGATAGCCATGTTTATCTTCAGCACCACTAAAAATATTTAGTAAAGAAGTATTAAACGATGCTCTCCTATTGGAAAAGTAAACCAGTCATATTAATTAAATTCACCTTGCTACATATTGATCAGATACGTCAAGAAAAATAAAGAAACATTCATTATTTGAAGTATACGACTTATGTGTTCTTAACATAGAGCCAACTATTTTTAGCGTCACTAAATCAATTACATGTATATCAATTTCTTCGGCTATTGGTGGAGGTAGTAATGGGTTCGTAATGACATAACCTCGTGGCCATGGTCTTGTGTTTACGTACAAATACCTAATAGTACAAATAACAATCTTTGTAATGGAAAAGAAAAATATAAATTTTATGTTTTAACATAAACAACCGACCTATGATCTGGAGAAAGGCCCATTCCTATAATGTGCCCATGCAAATCAATTAAATGATCTACTTTATCAAATTTATCAGCTAGAGCAGCATAATCCACCCAATTAGTATTAAATATGTCTTCATTTTGTCTTTCTTCACGTTCTCTTTCTCGTTGAGCTAATCTTTCACGTAATGACGGCCCAGGATCTAATCTTGTAGGAAAATTGATCTTCTTTATTCTCTTGAAACCAACTTGATGTGGTGTATAAGTTTTTGATCCAGTTGTGAAAATAAGATATTTTTCACAATTATTTGCTAATTCGTCTGTATCATTTGTATTCTCTGCGTTTGATGACTCTGTACATAGATTTTATTGATATTTTAAAATTTATATAACTAATTGAAATACTATTTTTTATATTGTCATTTATTTCTACCTTTAGATTCACTTTTTACATCCTGTTGGGAATTTTTATCTTCTTCATCATTTTCCTGAGCTATTTTTTCCATTTCTACTTGTCTATATTCTTCAGTGTATTGTATAGGATTAGCATATTCAAAACCATCACCGAGTCTTTTCCAATTCATAAATCCACCTTCCAATGTACTGTACCTGTTTACATATGCTTTAACATACTTCAGTTACTTTGAATATATCATCAAACAAAACAAATTTAGCTTACTGTAATCTAGATGATGCATGTCGAAGAATAACTGGTTCCTCTTGTTCTTGAACAGTATCAATAGAAGACATAGATGAAATATCTATATGGCTTAATGGATTTTCCTTTTCTTCTGTAGCATTAGAGGTTGAAGGTTCATTCTGTTGCTCTTCAGATTCATTCTGTTCAGGTGACAAGCAATTAGCTACCATTATTGTTCGAATTGACAAACCATTACTATTATAAAATCTAAAATATGTGAAATAAAATTTTATAGAGATGAAAACTTATTTTTATAATGTAAAAAATCATAAATATATAATACCTAAAAAGTTGTGCCATAATAGGAATATGTTCACTAAATGACTCTTGGGTTGCTTTATTAAGCCATAAAAGACTAGATCTAACAAAGTGTGATAACCAACATAAATTTCCACTTAAAAGATAATGCTCACTGTACCATGTACCAAATATGTCATGAGGTTTATTTGTAACTCTACACTGAAGATCAAAACCAGCTGTAATAGAGGAAACTAAATAAGTTTCTATTGTATAATTTTTACTAGTGATTTTAAAATGTCAAAAGATTCACTGATATTCTTACGTGCTAATCTAAATACTGCTATTTCACCCGAGGTGCAAAGACGAGTTCCAAAGCTTACACCAGATACAAGCAATAAAGTATCAGATGAATTAAATTGTGAAAATTGGGTATATTTCCAATTAAATGTTTTCATGTCATGATGGTATTTTAGGCTGACAGGATACTGACTTTCCCAAACCTAAAATAAATCATGCACCTAGTTTTATGTTTTCAATCAAGATTACCCATTAGCGAAACCAAATAATTACAAAATTAATAAATAAAAATGACTCACAAAAACATATCCGTCTTTAGAACACGTAGCAAACATTTCTCCATTGTGCGAAAAACTAACATGTAATACTTGATGAGAGTGCTCTTTAAGAACTTCTGTTTCTAAAAGTGGTATATGATATGTTAAACGTTTGAATTCTCCTAACCAAGAAGTTTTTCCTACAAAATGATTAATATTGTAAAATAAGAATATATCATGTTAAAAAATATAAAAGGATAATAGTATGTACTAATCATGATTTCTAATTTTGTGTACATTACATTCTCTTAACCTTATTTATAATCTTCTAAAAATTGTATCCTATACAATGTAGAGTATTTATAAATATACAATAAAGTTAACCTGGCATAATGCCGACGTTTGGACTTATTTTGTATGTTTGGTAGAACAAATCTTTCCAAAGAAATTCATCATATGATACTCTGTGCCACGATTTACATACTTCTCCAGCAATTACCAGTTCCTGCGGTGTTAAATACTGAAAAATGTTTAACAGAATAGTATCCGGCATACAATACCAGTTTTCATATCCTTCACTCATGTCTGACAAACAATCGCTTTCATCCTTTGATTCAACGCTATTTTTATCATTATTTTCTTGATTTTCTGTACCATCTTCAACACTGTCCATACCGAAATGTTCTTTATTTACTGGAACAGCTGATACCGCTCAGTTACGCCGCGACTGATACAAACACTTTCACGACCATATGAAATCACGTTTGCGTCGAATGTTTGCAAATGAACGTTATATTGCTAATTTTACTACGATTGAAAAACGTTTGAACTAATTATATACTAAGGTTGGAAACTTCTTCGAGAACTATTTCGAATCGATCGAGGCGCCGTTATAAACAAACGGGTGGTAAATGAAAATGTATAATCGGTAAATGGGACATTTAATTGTTAAGATAGGAACCTCAGGAAAACTTTTTTTGTAAAATTATAATTTCAGTGGTAAATATAAAACAATATATTTTATTAGAAAAAGTTTTATTAAAAAATGAGATTATACATATCTTTTTTAAATATATTTTTAATCTTCATATTTTATATTTTTATTTGGGCTTTTATCATGATGTTTAGTTTACAGTCTTTTACTTCACAAAAATAATTATGCGATCTTCGTTATAATTTTAATATACATAACGACTACGTATCTTGAACGCATATCAATTAATACTTTTGATGATCAATATAAAGACTCATTTATATTGACTTGACAAGTATATGCTCTTCCTGTACAACTCCCACAAATATCTACATAACTTACGCACAATCGTACTTGAAGATGAGTAAAGAAAGGACAAGGTTTAACCTTATTAGGTTACGAGTTATTTTCTTGAGAAATCAATTGGTTTTCTGCTTGCATATAGAATTGTTCTCCAAACCATTCTCTGTGCATTTCTAAATAACTACAAAATTCAGAATACATCTCTCAGTTATGATATAAAATGACAGAATATACGTTAAAATAGATATAAAATATTACCTGAGGAACATGTCCAAATATTTTAAAAGAACCTTTAACTTTTTGTGTGGTATATCTGTTAATTGGAGTAAATCTGGTAATTTAACTGAAAATATATAAGCAATTAAGAAATACTAATTTTGAACTATTTTTATTTATCTCAATATTTGACACAAATATTTTTAATAAATGTACATACCGAATAATCGGGTCAGGTGAATAGCACCATAGTAGGTGGAAGGATTTGGAGGACTGTCAGATTTCGAACGTTCAGGCATTAATCTCCATTTGTTTGATTGCTGAAGCAAGGCATTGATTTGTGCGGATGTAACAACTGGTATTCTTAATGTTACTCCACGCGGGCTAGAACAACGAGAACTTGTACTTGCAATACTAAAAAGAAAGAAACCTTCAACTTAGAAAATATGCAAGCATATATGAGATAATTGTTATTTTTTTGGAAAGTTAAATTTACCTCGACATATTTCCTGTATCTTGTTTAATTTCTTCATAGAATTTCAATGGTCTATTTTCATCAATGGAGCTCACTCTACACGATCTTAATCTTCGTTTAGAATTTGTTAATATTTTTGATGTATCTGTTTCTTGTTCATGTTCTTGGAATGGTGGTAAATGAGCATATTCAGTATCTTCATATTCCTCTTTAACTAATACTTCAGAATGTCTTAAAGTAATAATATTATTATGTTAAAAATTATGTACATAATTTGAAGTAAAAGATACTTTTCAAAAGAGATCCTGTTCAATTGAACTTACTCAATTGGTTCTTCTTTAACAAGTGTTGGATATTCATTATACAAGAAGGAAGATTTTAAATTACAATATTGTTCTTTTTCTTGCCTATATAAAAGGAGATCATGTAACGTAAAATCAAAGTATATTCGTAACCCATCTGCGACTTCCCTGCATATATTTATTTCATTAATTGCTTTTTCTATAGTATTATTTGCTTTATTACGTTGAGGTTTCTCTGGAATGTTTGTTAATTGTGTTGTAGTATAGTGTTGTACCCACGATTCTAAAATATTTGCAACAGTTGGTTGTGCAGGAAGAACAGCTAGCTAAAATGCATATATTTTTTGTTATATTCAAAATATTAAGCTATATATTTTTAATTATAATTTTATTAAATACTATACCTTATTTTTATTGGTAATTAGGTCGTAATCTTGGTCCAAAATTCTTCTTAAAGTAGTACCAATATCAAGATCAATTCCAGGTCTTACACCAGATTGACTGCCACCACCACTATCTTCATCATCACTTGTTTCACCAACATAATCAGAACTACTTTCTGTGTCTTCTTCAGTATTTACTCCCTTCATTAATAATAATAATATTCCATTTAAATTTCATGAAAATTACCCTGTACAATTATTATAAATAACAAAATGTTAATACTTCTGTATCATAATCAGCATGTTGCCCTGAACTGCCATCCTCTGATGATCCAGTTGTTGCAGATGTTGCTCGACTACCACCACTTCTCGCTCTCCGTCGTGGTTCTTGATGCTCTGCTTCATGTAAGCGTTCAGATAATTTATGGCTTCGTTTCTTACGCTCCCGTCGATATAAATAAGCTCCTCTAGAATATTATTTAATTAAAAACATGATGTAGACAATTTAAATAACTTTTAAATTAAATACGTACAACTGAAGCTGTGCTTTTTGTGCCAAATCACGTTGGAGTTGGCGATTTTCTTCTGTGTCTTTTAGTACATATTCTTCTGTTACACAACGATCCCATGATGAATTCCATCCCTTTTATTGCACAAATATTTTACTTTATTTATAACAGAGTTACCAGTTATTTATAAATCGTTATAACCACTCATTTATTGTTTACCTGGAAGTGTATCAAATATTCAACGGCTTTTCTTCCTCTTTGATCTTTATTAACTATGACATCAAGTACCTGAAATTCATACAAAGCACTGAATATTAAAGATTATCTGAAACATATTGTAACAAATAAATATTGTTGTCAAAATGATTTTACTCTTATTATGCTATACCTTTGAGTCGTACAATACTTTTGCTTTAGTAGGATCTGGCTCATAACATAAAACTTTTTCACCATCACAGAATTTGAATTTTGGTCCTCGAGTGGAAACCATCCCTTTCTACTAAATATTAAAACTAAATTATAAAGTTGCTATTGTAAGTAGTTTGACATCAATAGAAATAACTTGATATTGTTTATATTATCATAACCTTATATATCATTCAAATAGTTTACTTTTAAGAAAAACATTTATTAGTATCACTTTTGTAATTGTATTTATTTGAAATCACTAACCATTACTGATGACACTGGATAATTGTTGTTAATAATATGTAGATACAAGTTTATATAAGTTTCCAGAATTCCTGTTCATGAAAACGTTACTTTGTGTAAACTAACCTAATTTCGCCTAACTTGGGATCAAATCCCCTAAAACCCAAACCGTAGTGCATTTTCTGTGCTTCAAACTCAAACCTTATATTCCTAGGTCCATGAATGCATTGCAAATTATTTGCTTTTATATTTGAATACTGAATTTGTTATAATGATTAATATTAATAAGGTTTACATACTGTTGTTTTTCATAGGTTTAATTATCAATTTATATACAGTCATTACAAATTATACTTATATATACAGTCAATCTGTATACACGAAGAAAAAATATATATATTAATCAATAAATATGTATGAATGTTGTTTAATACAATCAATTTATTTACAATAATCAATAATATATGAGAAAAGTATTAATGTACATTATTTAAACCTAAGAATGAAGAATGACTTGTTTAATTTCATTTAAACATTTCGTTAATATAACATTAACAATTTATATTTCATTAAAATAAAAATTAAGTTTTAGCATTTTGTATTACAGAACAAAATAGAAAAAATGTCAATTAGGAAACGTCAATCTTTTATGCTATTGCAGCTACGAATGTGTATGACAATGTAAAAGTAGTCCATACATAATATACATGATATATCCAAATAATATATACATTTAGCTAGGTATCTAACATATTTTAAAGCAAAAGATATTTCTTCTCCAACAAACATAAATATTTCCAATTTTGATTGGAAGTATGAACATCATTATTTTACATATCTCACATTGAAAGAAATAGTAACAACGCTTGTTACATATTACTGATTTGTTGAAATTCTATGAGCAGATACCTAAAGAAATCAAAGTTTTCGGGGTCGTCCTCGTTTTCTAAGCGTAGTAATTTTACCTGTCATTGACCTGGTAGTACGTAATTTCTTTTGTATATTTGCTATAGATTTTATATTTTTATGTGAACTTCTATGCATTCGCAAGTGTTGTATAAACAGCAATCTCGATCTAATTAATTTCTTACATATCTGACATCTGCGAATCTGTTGATCTGTAAAAAGAATATCAATAAATTAGTACTACATTATTTTTAACAAAGTAGTTAATTTTTAATTATTATAGAGGATACAAAGTAAACATTAAATAATCTTAATTCTTTTAATTTACCGGATTTTTTTGTTCCATGTTGTAAACAATGAGCTCTTAACAATGCAATGCTTGGAAACCATCTGCCACAATCAGAGCAACTTAATTTTTTCACTTCCCAGGTACAGTTTGGTCGTTGTTTTCTTTTTCTTTTAATCTTTTTAATCATGGTTAACTGTTTTTTTGGTTCCACGTACTCTTTTTCCTCCTCAACTTCCGTAGATGGTGATTCTGCCAATAATTTACTAAATCTACGTTTCTTCCTTTGAGAATGTTCCGAACGAACATGACGCGCTAATGCTACTACTACATCGAATTTCTGCTCACATATTTTACAAGCGTATTGTTTTTTAATGGTATCTTCATGCGTGCCATTTGCATGTAACTTTTTTTCGTTGAATCGAATTACATTTGATGGCGATTTCGAACAAACTCGTAAATGGGTCTCTAAAGCTCTTTGTTGCCTAAAGTTTCTTGAACAGTGTTGACATTGTAATAAAATTGGTTTTGAATTTGATTGTTGTAACTCGTCGTCAGAATCTCCAACCATTATAATTTCATTTTCTTTATCGCTAGAATATTTGTCTTTACTGTCATCTATAGTTATCTCTACAACATCTCTCTTTGATTGCAACATACTTTCATCTTCGTCAACGTCGATTTCTATAATTTCAACTTCTTTGCGTTTCATTTTCTTCATTCTTTTCGATTCATTATTTCTTTGACGATACCCGGAATGAGGTACAACTCTCCTTTTTCGTTTTCCCTTTTTCCTAACATTATTGTCTTCTTCGCTCAACAAAGATGCTGGTTGAATTATGATTTCAGAATCTTCACGATTTACGGAAATTAATTGTTGTTTTCGGGATCTTTTAGCTTTACATTGAATTTGCGTCGATTCAGGTGATGTACATTCAGTGGAACCATTTGATATATCTAAATTTGTACTATTTGGTATCATATTCATCGTTGAATCTGTAAATGATTCTAAAAATTCTTGTTGATTATCCATTAAATTCAACTTCCTTTCTGTTAAAGTACTGGAAATATGTTTCGAATTTTTATGTTTCGAAAATTCGTAATCTGCTTCTTTGATGCCAGCATACGTATTTTGGGGTCTAATAGGTTTTTTGTTTATTTGCTTTTTTGGAGATTTTAATTCAGCTGATTTCAAATTTTGAAGGGTTTCGTGAATTTCATCGAACGTTAATTCGGAATCAGATTGATCATTCTCGAACAAAATGTATTGTACAGTTGACTGTTCTACAATTTCACTATCACTTTCATTATCTTCTTGATATTCTTCAGAAGTATCTATTAAATTACAATGATATTATTATGTATTTTCGTAATTTTAACAATTTTGAAATACGTACCCATATTTATGGAAGAATTATCCATCATTACATATGTTACATCCGACCGTTTATCATGAGCTGTATATATAATGTTAGGAACTTGTTTCATGTTTAAATTCAAATCAGAACTCTCTCTAATATTAAGTAAGGTAGAATTTCCTCCCAACATTCGTTCTTTCCCCTGTAACCTCTCATTTTCATTTATCATAGTTTTATATTCATTGTGCATTGCTATATTATTTGTTGGGTCGCTTTTAGAAAAAAATATTGGAGGTTGAGTAGTTAACAACTGTTTTCTTATTTGTGTAGGTTTTTTCACAGTTCTAACTGCACCTTCACCTATTAATCTCTCAACATCTGCTCTATAAGTGTAATCATTTTATTATTTAATGTATATACTTTAAGAACTTATTCATTAGTCAATAAAGTTAAATATATGTGATATACATACTTCATAAGAAATTGAAAGTTCGTTGGAGGTTCACCAGATCCATCATAAACTGCTACTGCAAATATTTCTTCTGAATCTTCAACTGCGTACAATGCTAGTTGCTGACCAGTGGCAGTTACAAATGTAGCTATTGTTTCTTCGTCTCCATCTTGGTCATCATCATGTGCTGTTTTATTACTTATTTCAGATTCACTTTCTTCTGGTTCTAACAACTATTCAATCATAAAAATATATAATACCAAAATGTAACTATATTTTACATTTGGATTTCTATCAAAGAATTATAAAATTTAGATGTTAAATATTTAATTCTACCTACCAATAAATTCTGTTTATGAGCATCATTTGTAAGCCACTTCTGTTTAGCTACATTGTCCATAGACAATGATATAGAATCATCTGTATATTCTGCAGGTATTGTTACATCTATATTTTCTTCCAAGTATTCAGAAGCTTGTTCTTTTGAATCATAGATATCTTTTTCTGAAATTGGATGTTTTACATCCATTTCTTCATCTATTACTATCTCTTCTTCAATAATCTATATAAATTATTTTTAATTAATGATAATTTTTAAAATATATGCTGTTTGAAGTATTCATTATTTTGTTACCACTGTTTCTTCCATGTTTTCGCATTTACTTAAAACCATAAATTCTGTTGAGCTTTCATCTATTGGACATGGTTTTTGAATGATCTCTTCAGAAACCATTTTTTTATAAACATCTTCATTGGTCACAAATGACATTTTCCTTATTCTTCTCGTTTACTAATATCACGCTTCTTCAGTTGAAGATATACATGTTAAATAAATGAAATACCTAAAATATTGAATTATAAAAAAATACATTATCAACTATGTTGATATAGCTATACAATATTATAAACTATTAATTAAACATGAAGGTTATTTCATACATGAAAAGATAATAAAATATTATGAATATTTACTTGAGGTTATGCTCGTGGTAATGTCCATAACTCACAAGTTCTAAAATATATTAGCAGCAAATTATGTACAATTGGATGCATATTTTTTATGTCCATTTATTGCAAATCAGTGTATAATATGAATGCTTTTATTTACAGCTGCGTTCAATACCAAAAATACACGATCTTTTAGCAATGTTTGAATTTCATAACATAATTAAAAATGATAATCGTAAAACGAATACTCTGTGTTTTGAGAGGTATTTTTAATAATCACTGGTATTCTAACTTTTACATATCAACATAATAAGAAAAAATATATAAGCGTATTGGATTTAACACAAGCTTCCATCTCCCAATTTACGTATGTACATAATTAATATTAGATGCACATAGCACTTATGCTGTAACACATATAGAAACATAACCTTAGATATTACGTGTTTCGCACATTATATATGCAGCCTTTTTTGAAGTTATCATAGTTTTCAAACAATTTTTTTTAACTTTTTGCCATAAATATGTATATTTCTGTTGATACAGTAATACATACATACGACAGCTAAAAATAATTATTTAAATAGAAATTCAGCTTCATGTATGAAAAGTTCTTTATGGAGCGTTTAGACTATGCGAATGCTGACTCTTTCCACATGTCGATAAAGTTCAATCACAAATGATTATTATACTATTTTTTATAGGTAATATTAGAAGAAATGAAATAGAATATTGTATTATATGCAATATTTACAGGACATCAGTTTATTTCAAGATTCGCTATGCTAAGTTCAATAGTTTTTTATTTAAGGAGAGATCATACTCATTATTCAATAAATTTTTTTTAGCATTGTAATTAGGTAGTAATGCGCATACCCCTTTATGACACTTTTATATTTAGTGATTCAAATTTCCAAATTTCTAAATTCTGAATCTCTAAATTTTCAACATTCCAAATATAATACTTATTGTCATTCATATATCTTTCCTGCCATATATATGGTCGGTGAAGTAGGAAACGTATGGTTCTGAAGTTAGCCTAGTTGCGCAATTAGAATACGATTTCTTGTTATGTGAATATAGCGTAATGTATATTTGCTATAATGTGGGTTGGACAAGTTTGGCACGTGATATAGAATACGTAGGCGTGACTTGTCAGCTGATGCATTAGCTGTTGTATCAAAAACAATTCTCTTAACTTTATTCAACCAGCAACAGTATTTTCTGTAAAAATGGCTCTTCATTCCGCGGGGAAGGGTAAATTGCTTGCAGTAATTGGAGATGAAGTAAATGTGATGTGTAAAAAGTTATATTTTATGTTGAAAAGATATTTATGAGAATTTTATTTTAGGATACCTGTGTGGGATTTCTGTTGGGCGGAGTTGGTGAAATTAATAAACATCGTCAACCTAATTTTATGGTTGTAGACAAAAGTACGTTCTATTGAAACATTTATTTTTGATAAACTAATTTTTGATTAACTAATCAATACTAGAAAGTAACACTTTATGATATTTGGTACTATGTTTGGTACCTAAGTAAGCTTGATAATAACATCATATAGAAACGTGTACAAATTTATATATATTTATATATATTTGTAGATATATGTGTGTATATATTGATTTCTTTATAGATACACCAGTGAGTGATATAGAAGATACATTTAAACGTTTTATTAAACGAGATGATATCGATATTATCCTTATTAATCAAAATGTAAGTATCACATGTATTTTCTAAATATTTAAATTTATTTGTAAGAATATACAGTAGCCCACAAAAGTGTTTGTACTACCATTAACTCATTTGCAACAGTATTATTCTTAAATGTACAGGCCCAATCTTTGAACAAAAAAAGGACATGGTAATTGCACGATAATTATATTTTAAGAAAGATTCTTGTTTTAATTTGTGTATAAGTACTTTTGTAGACCATTATATATAGATTTATTAATGATTAAAAGTATTTTGTTTCTTATAACAGTTCAAATTACAATAAATTTTTTTTAATTCATTTAAGGTTGCAGAAATGATTCGTCATGTAATTGACAGTCATACACAACCTATACCATCAGTATTAGAAATTCCGAGCAAGGATCACCCATATGATGCCAGCAAGGACTCCATTTTAAGGCGTGCTAGGGTAAGATTGTGTTAATTAAATTTTAATAGTTAATGTAGATATTATTTATTAACACCATATATGAAACTGTATATTAATAGTAATTATATTATATATAATCTTTTTGTAAATATGTACTATTCTGATATAATATGTCAACTATATTCATGATAAATTTGAAACTATCAATGAATGTAGTTATTTGCAATTACAGTTATATTACAGCCATTTTAAGAATTTGTTTAATAAGAGAGAAAGCATAAATATTAAACTATTTTATAATTAAATATCTCTAACAAATTAAGTAATTGTAATTTTACTTTACAGGGAATGTTTAATCCAGAAGACATACATTAATGATTATACAAAAGAAATAATTGGTGACTTGTATGTTGTTTGTTAATATCTGTATGTAATGTCACTGTTATAGACTATTCAGAAAAAATAGAGATATGTACAACATTCCATTATTTATCTTATATTCCAATAACTTAATAATTCTTTAATTTCCCTGTGAAATGTGTATATAAATTTTATCCTGTACATATATGTGGTATTAAAACAATTACTGAACAATTGCAATTATCAAAGTTAGTTATGTAAATGAACATATACATTATAAATATAATAAATCACATAATACTTTATTTTTATTATTTCATTTGCAATTATTTAACAAAGTTTGAAGCGCATCTTTACTTTAAAATTATATTTAACTGAGGTCCATATAGCATTCAATGAATTTGTAAGTTATCAAAAAATCACACTATTTATTTTTTAATATTTCTTCGGCATAATAAATAAAGTATAATAAACAAATTAATACTTATGAAAAACAGATCTTCATACTCAAAAAACGTGTAAATTTTTGGTCGTTCCTGTATAAATATGTACATAATTGTTAGAAATAACAGCAAAATACTGAAGATACTTAAATAAACTGATGCAGCCATAACTATTTTTAAATAAATATTATAAATATTTCGTTTCTCAAATAAGAGAGCAATTATACATCTTACATGCACATTGTAAACTTCTGTTTACATAGAACACAGTTCTGTGGTAACTGTTAGTAACGCCAAGGTTACTATAAACACTTGGAAATTGCAATAGAAGACTGAAATTTTATACTATTTGAATTATTTAAAAATCTATAATAATTAAATTTAATAATCACGTTCTTCAGTGGCAGACATAAATAACTTTTGTACAGTGTGGGTAATTTCAACTACAAAAAAGAAATATAAATAACAATTAACTTATAAATAAAAATAATTTGAACTTAATAAACATATATAAATATTACGTACGATTAAGTTGCTGAAACCATAAAGGTTTATTGTTCCATTTAACACCAAAATAATAAGCTGGAACACCAGATAAAGTTATTAAAGCCCCAATACCAACTTCATATGGTCTTTCATAACAAGGAACAAATACTAAAAATGCACATATAGCCACAAATGTAATAGGAATCCACAAAGGCATCTGCAAAATAAATTCATTAAAATATTCAATCCCCAATTTGTGATAACACATTCAATATTATTCACCTTAATTGGTCGAGACATTTTAGGTTGTTTGTAACGGAGCCATAATACACCAGCGACGGATAACATGATGAAAAATGATTCAACTATGCTGCAGTATGTAATTAATACAAAAATATCACTTGTACATAGCATTACTAAAGACAAGAAACACTGAAAATAAAGAACATTTATATTAAATAACAAGTTTATAAATATATGTTATTTATTGAGCAGTACATACAGAAAATAGTATATGTAATACATACCAGAAAAACTAAGGCAGGTGTAGGCGTAAGTCTCGAGACATTAATATGACTTAACATTGAAGGAAAATGACCGTTTCTAGCACCTACAAAACACATTCGGGAGGATGTCATAATGTGAACACTTAATCCTCCAAATGCAGATATAGCTACCATCACAGGTATCGTCCATGCCATTATACCAAGAAGTTGGTCTCCAAAAGTCTAATGAAAATTTATTCCATTGATAACTTTTCTAATGATACAGTATTTGTTTATGTAAAAATAATACTAACCACAGCGATTGCATGAGAAGCAATCATTTCAGTTGGTGTTAAAACTGATAAATAAGCTACATTTGCCAGTACATAAATGAAAGTAACTAAAGGCAATGATATATATATAGCACGAGGCAAATTTCTATAAAATAAAATTATTTATTCAATATTAAAAAAATTGAGAATATAAGATTTTCTATAACAGGTAGTATAACTGAAAAAAATATTGATTCTACATATAAAAATGAGTCAATCGAAAAACGAAGAATCATTTTTGCTACACTTCTTTATGTAGAATTATTTTTTTCACTTATACCATCTATTATGAAATATCCTGTATAATTTTGTATTATTTTGTAATACATACACATAAGGATCTTTTAATTCTTCAGTCATGAAATTTAAGTAATTCCATCCAGAATATGAGAATATTCCAGAATAAAAGGCCACTGCAATTTTACCCGGTTCTGTAATCGTGTTTTCAAAAGCATTCTCAAAATTTTCTGTGTTCCCTGTAATAAATGTATGTAATTAGATAATGAAACTGCACATTGATATTAGACATTAAGACATGCTTATTCATTATAGTTACCTAGTAGTATCCAAACCAGTCCAGCAATAATTATAATTACCAGTGCACCAATTTTAGCAAACATAAATACATTTTGCATTTTTGATGTTTCCTTGACATCATAACAGTTTGCAAATGTAAGCAAACCTAGTCAAAATTAAAGTTACAACATTTCATTTTAGTAACAGGGAATTTATATTTGAACAAAATGTTCAAGTTAAGATTGAATTTCAATTCAATATAAAAGTGAGCATTAAATTAATCATATTTTATATGTGTATAAAATAAATATCTTACAAATAGTTACAGCTGCTAGTAAGCGTATACCACCATCTGGAATAGTGCAGTTTGGAAAGAATGGTTGTAACACATACTGAGCAAAAGTTAATCCCATAATCGCATTTGTAGTTGGGCTATAAATGAAAAAAAAAATATTTGTCATATGATAGTACACAGTGATTTTTAAGTAGTATTCAGTTTTAACAATTTTATCTTCTAAAACATAATAACTTACATAAAAATTAAATTAGCAGCCCATAAGTACAAAAATGCAGGTAATGCTCCAAAAGCTTCATAAATATAAGCATAATCACCACCACTACGAGGTATGCAAGTTCCTAATTCAGCATAGCATAATGCCCCAACCATTGAAAGTAAGCCACATAAAATCCATACAATTAAAGATACTCCAACACTTCCCACTTCTGTGATTATACCCTTTGGTGAAATGAAAATACCTGTATGTGATTTCATATATTATATAATATGGAATAAGATATTTGTAATGTAAATAACATTTCATTTTGATCTTTATTATTTATTAAATTCTGTATGTTCTTAAGTTTTGATATTTATAAAAGAATAAAGCTAAAGGAAATTGAAAGAAATTCCATATTAGGACAACAATAACTTTGGTGTTAATGTAAAAGAAAAAGTATTTAAATTCTTAGATAAATTCTTACCTGAACCACATATAATTCCCAATATTATTGCAACTCCTTCTAAAAGACCAAGTTGCTTTTTCATTTGTACTTTTTCGACATTACTAACTTGCTTAATATCTTGCTTATTATTTTGAGATTCATCATCTGAACTTAATAACTGCATTTCTTTAGGAGATTCATCAAATATTTGAGAGACCATTTTGCCTAAATAAAATAGATATTAAAATATGATATTAATTATCATGTCAAGTATGAGTAAAGCTCGTTAATGTTGCTTCACCTATTATATATCTTCCGATATTATTCTATGAATTTAGAATATATTTTAAAGTGGACTAGTAATTTTGTAAAACCCATAATATTAAAATTAATATTATAAACTTAATAAAGTATGATCAGCTTCATTAATTAACTTACCTATCTTTATATGCTACCAAGTTCTGAAATTAAATTATAATATTACAATTGTGTTTTATCTAAATATGAGAACGTGTAAATTGATATATAATAAAAAATTCAAACGTGCAAGTATTATCTATATACATCAGTTTCTTGAATTCCTTTTTGAGTGTGCATTATCTGAAAAAGAATCATGTGTTTATTTTTGAAATATGGAATATTAATATAATATGTATTGTATACGATACCTGAAAGTTGACATAAATAAACAAACACTTTTCTCGTTCATACAATATTATTTTTAAAGCTTATAATCGAAAAATTATTGTAGGTTATACATGTGAACGATGCACGTGTGCTAAGTCAAAATACAGATTGGTTTGCATAGAATTACATTTCTTGAATGAAATAAGTACAATAGAATTTTGTTACAGAAAATTCTAATTTAATTATATTTAAGGTATTAATGTTAGAAAAATTGTACTGAATCGGTGTTACACACTTCAACAACAAGCAAAAGAAAATCCTGATGCAATTCAAATTTAAATTACGTGGTATCAACGTACAGAATGTAATATACATACATTATGTGATATAAATGTATTTCTGACACACATTTTTCAAACGAAAATTTAAATATTTATCATAGATATATAGTTTCATTTTTGTACAATTACGCATGTCATGAAAATTATTGTTTACTTAATGTTTTTTTTTTCTTTTAACCGGCGTTGATAATAGTTATCGGTGTATACAAAAAATATTTACTAAACAGCTAATTATATATATACATTATATACAAATATTTTTTCTAAGCATATCATGTTTACTTAAACAATTTCTTTTTTCATATACAACAGAAATTTCATATTCAGAGTCGCATTTTCCACAAAGTCCATTAGGCGTAAACTGAGGCCTTATACTTGATAATTAATAGCTCCATTTAATTGAATTTTGAGAACGTTATCGAGGAAAACCTTTACGGCGCTTGATTCCGGAAATAAACAGGCCTGGCATAAGGACTCTATAGTTGAACTAAACTTCATCAGTCCCATTTTCTTCATTACGTTAGCTTCAACCGTTGTTTTCGTTTCACCAATGTATAAATTGCATTTGCGGAGTTCCGTTTCCAGAGGATCACTTTAAAATAAATAAATTTAATACATATGTATGTTTTAAAAATAAAAATGCATACATAAATTCGAAACATGTGTAAATAATTTCGTTCGGAATTATTGAAAATATATAATAGACTTAATTTAAGTTGAAATCGGAGGTTATTAACATTTGCTTTTTCCTGTTTAAAATAAGTTTCGTTGTATGACTGTAGTGGATGATGCAGGAAAAATTGAGGACTCTAGAATTTATTTTTTTATTTACCTTAATTCAATACGCACAACTCCACCAAATGATACAAAATCCCCGTAAAGCCGTGTAAGGAATATATAACTGCTGTTATAATAAACGCATTTGTTTTCAAATGGAAGGTCCGCTACCATCTTCCAAATTGTTAACAAGAATCCGTTCGATAAACCCTCAAGAAAAATATAGAACTTCTCACAGGAATTAATGACAAACCCCGTTAAAATATCCTTAAGACCTTGCACCTATATTAAAGTAACGTAAATACAGAAATTACAAACTCATCGCAATAATAATAAAATGAATTTATCAATAAAATAAAATTAATATAATGTACCACTGAATCTTCACCATCTTCGTCCGCGTACTGATAAGTTACCAATAAAGTGGAATTATGAAAGGACACATTTTCCAAAATATCGTTCACCAATTTTACATCGTTCAATATTAAGAAAATTCGATTTAATATATTCTTACAACGTAGGATCTTCTGATGCATTTTTTGCAGACCGTAAGATAGTCTTACTTTAATTTTTACTAAAGTATCGAACGATGTCAGAATATCATTGGTGAGCGGTGAATTTTCCCATGTATTCATTTTTTCGTTATTTATGTTCATACATGTGAAATCGATATTGCAGGGATGAACTACACTGCTTATCAGTCTCATTTCCCAAAGTCCTCTCAAAAGATCTGATACGTTGAATTTCGCGATACCTAACAGGACTTCCTCTTTTGTTGCTACCTCTACCGTTTTTGATGATTTTTCCGACGCTTCTTTATCAGATTTCTTAGGGACAGAAATAGTAGGCTGGATTACATTTATAATTCGTACACCAATTATCTAGATATAAATATGTTAATGTATTCATTTAATTTATCATGAACATTTATATATCTACATATACTTCATTTGATAAATATATATGACAAATTTCAATACACATTCGTTTTACCTTAACAATAATTAGCTTTGCTATAAGAAAATTGATTAGCTCTTCTGGATTAAATTCTCTACAAAGGAAGCATTTAACAAATTCGAAGCACATCGTGTTATTTGGAATGTAGTACGGTGTGACGATCGTGTGATTCAGAAAGAAAATTTTTACGTGTAAATATTTAAAACCGCCTTCAATTATCAGGTCAGTTGGAAAATTCGATAATTGTTCCAATTTGATTGCTATTGGATTTAAATTTTTTCGTAATTGCTTGTTGGATAATATGTTTCGAGATTCTGTATAAATTAAAACGGCCGAAACGTTTGATGATGGAGGAGTCCTCTTGAAACTTGTAACAGTACCCATGTCTGAAAACGACACCGTAGTTATCACATTCTGGGCACAAATGTCTATCTACAGGCATGTTTAAAATTTCAAGGTGACCTTTGTGGTAAATTTTATTTGAAACATGTCTTCGAGTAACACTTTAATAAATAATTGTATTTAAGTAATTTAATTTACCAGAAAACATAGTTTCCGCGAGCAAATTAATCTCATATGTAACCTCTATATCCTGTTTCCGTTTACTTTTTTTAGTTGCCTTTAATTGCTTTTTTGCCTTAGATTTTATCTTTGTTTCTGACATCGATTTTTCCGCGACCTGTAATAATTCAATTTCTGATTCAGGTGGAAAACGATTTTTCCTTAACATTTTTCGGAACTTATATTCGTGTGCTTTATCTAGTGAAATTATAATTAATAAGTTATAAATAAAATGCGAGTAACGTGTTAAAAGTATTTTGCTACCTGGTATCATATCAAGGTATGTAATGATACTTAAGTCACCATAAACTTCATTCGTAACTATAATCGGTTCTGGAGGAGACGGAGTTCGAGATTTTTTATGAATATTATCATTTTGCATCTCAGTGGGATATATTTCAAGAAAGTCATGTGGTTCTATATTCATAGAGCTATCACTTATATAAAATTTTTTCACTTTGTCCTTTTTGGCTCTATAATATAAAACAAATTCTTAAACAATTATTATCATTATAATAAAGGATGAAAATTAATATATCTTTGTAATATTATAACATCAATTTTATAATTGATATAATTATAAATCGCCTAATTATGCTATTGTTTTTCAAGGGAAATAATAGAAGTTCATTTCAAGATCATATTTAAAAATATTTCATCTTAATCCTAATCTTAATCGATTCTTCCTTTTAAATAAAATATTTGAATTAAAGAAAAATAAAGACCATTGTGAAATCTAGGATATGTGACCTTAAGTTGACCTTCATGCTCATAGTCTAATTTCCTCTTTGAAATACAGTAACAAAATAATATTTAAGGGTGCTAGAATCATGTGGACCAACCTGTATATGCAATCAGAACTAACCTTTCCGAAAATCTTTTTTTTCCACAGAATATACGGTAAGTGATTACATGATTAAAAAAATATTGTAATTGTATTTCATTTAATCGAACCATATGATGTACGGAAAATACAATCCAAATCATGTCGTTCTCGATTGGACATAAAATAGGTCTTAAACTCCACTCGCCATTCTCAGTATAAATCTATATAATAAAAATCATAGAATTAATCGAAATACTTGAGAATAAATCTAGCAAAAATAAAAATGAAAATAACTAATTTAAAGTATAAAAATTTGTTCAATATATAAATTTATTTATATACCTTCATCGCCGTTTCCCAACATCGGCAATCAAATTTAAAAGTATAACCTGGAAGAAATTCATATTCGACGTGTATATCCGCTAGTACATCACCTATGTTTATAACATTCGGAGAATTTGTGGTTTCAGACGTATCCTTATTTTTGTTCTTTTTATTTTTTTTATCCGCTGCTTTCGCTTTAACCTTCTTTTTATCCGCTAATTGATTGTTGTCTACATTAAATCTTGTAGAAATTTTAAATCCGAAAGTTACTACAAAATGCATTGCGCTTTGATTGTAGCTTTATTATTTCAAATTCGAACGCTAATTTTAGTAGCTGAAGTACTATCCTAATGTAACGTATTTTATAATGGCGCGAATATTAAATAGTGAAATTACCATGAGCTCAAATTATCTAGTTAAAATGTTACAAAATTGATATCGGTATAATGAATCGATATTATATCAATTCTTTGTTTTCAATATCGTTGGGTGAATCATTATAAAATAATGTACACCCGAGAGCAAATCTGGCTTCCCTAGGGAAAATGGCGGCGGAGGGGAAGGAATTCTCATTTCCCGTCAAAAGGTTATGACAGACATTATGCCTAATTCACAGAAGGCATTTTCCAAGTCAAAAAATTAAATTTTTCCTGAGAAATATTTACTTTTAAAAGTACAGTGGTTTATGTTGCAATGGATAACAATAATACTGAATCTAATATGAAACTTTACTAGGAATTAATTAATGCGAAACGGATAATTCATATGAATGAAACATAATGTTTGTGTTATAGCAAGTGGTGGGAAACCCTTCCCCTTCAACACTATTTTCCCTAGAGAAGCCAGATTTGCTACAAGGTGTACATATGCGTGTGGTATAGAGAAAATGGAGACCTTTCCTGCTTGCCCGCCATTTTCCCTAGGGACACTAAATTTGCACTTGAATGTACAATATTTCATAGATTAAAATTACGAAACTTTATTAATAATTGATAATAAATTAAAATGCAATGAAAACAAGAATAATGTATATCATATTTGGACAATGAATAGTGCTCCTTAATAAATTCAAATTAGTGTTATTTTATGGATGAATAATTAATTAAATCCAAATTAGTTGTACTTCCCGCTAAAGGATTTCAAGATTCAATATGGCGATTTACTACTGATTCTAGTAGATACTCGAGAGCGTCACAAGGATAACATTGTTGCAGGAAGTTCGTTCTATCTTCATAACATTGAGTAATTTACTGACTGAGATTTTATAAATATTAATACGTACCAACAATTTATATCATTGAAACATGATAATTTTATCATGTACAACATATTCCTTTTAATTTTTACATGTTGAAAAGCAATAAATTCAAAAAAAGGATCCTTAAAAGCGCTTTATATTATTAAATTGAAGAAAATTTATTCCAAGAATGTCTCAAGAGGACGACGTAGGATTTTTATACAAAACAATGAGTAAGTTAAAATTATCCTGTGGTGAAAGAACGAAATATCTTACTGTAAGGACAATAACATAGTATATAAACAATTCTTTGATATAGTTAAAGTGTTTAAGGTTTTTGAACAACAGGTAAATAACTTCAATATCTGTATTATGTAAATTGATATTTACATTGATGTAAAACATATATACATACATATACTATATAAAATAAATGTATGTTTCATTCACATTTTTAAGTTTCTTAAAAAGGATATGACTGATTGCAATTAGAGTAAAAATTAACTATTGATAATAAGAATATTTGAAGCTTAATAATATATGTTTCATAAATTTTAAATATTAATATATTTAATTGTTGTATTATTATTTATACATAATTTTTTGTTTGTTTTTAATCAACACTAGTATTAAAAATATTTAGTTTAAAAGGTATTTTTTTAATAATTACTTATTTACAATGATACAAAATGTAACAATAAGATAAAATATAATAATTTGGGCTAATTTACGAAACCGGCGTCGTATATTATATATATGATGTCAATATTTTATATGGCGATGATTTGACGAGTGCAAGGGGTAGTGGGAGATGTTTAAAAACTATATAGTGTATTGTACGATGTGTCAGAATAGCTAAAAGAATAATTAAAGTTCTGGACATAGCAAAGAATAACAAATTCTCGCTGAATTGATATAAAAGTGTCACATTAAGTGTAATATGAGTAGCATTTGTACGTATGTATTATGAATTAAACACTCACATAACCTAAAGTTTGTTTCTTGTACAATTTGGGAAGTGTACATAACTTCTTTAAATAAATATACTGTGTTGACTAGATACTGTTTTACTATTGTGTATATATTTTTTAACAATACATTTAAAAAATTATATGCATGAAAAAGTGTAATAAAAATTGTTTTTGATAGTTGAAAGGGATCCAAAAAAGAGGAGAGTTAAGCCTGTAGGATCAGCACCATCTTTGCTTGACTTTGATTTAGGTGAAAGTTCTGATGACAGTGATTTTAGAATTGAGGATCATTGTGAGGAATCTGATGATGATTCAGTGGATTCTAATGATATTGGAAAAGGTGAACTATATCGTATTGATTTTAAACATAATATTAATTAGCTCGTTATTTTGAAATAAATTAACAAAAATTGTTGATGTTTATGAAAGAGGAAGAAGATGCATCGGATGAATCTGATGACTCCTTAGAAGATCCATTATTGAATAAGAAAGAAAATACTAATTTAACTGTCGGAGATGTAATTGAACAAGCTCGGCAGCAAGCATTAAAAGGGGGTTCACTTGAAGATAAATTAAATAAAATGTTAATTTGTTGTGGTTGCCTTGGAGACAGAAGTGATGATGTCAATGAAATTGTCGAATGTGATGGATGTGGTGTTAGTGTACATGAAGGTAAAAATTAGAACAATTTATTTAATTAGACATTTAGTATTTTATTATTTATATTAATAAACTAAAATATTTTTAGGATGTTATGGTGTATCAGATGTAGAAAGTTTTTCAAGTACCGATTCTTTATGTCAGTCAGCACCGTGGTTTTGTGAGGCCTGCAGTGCAGGTATTGAAGACCCTTCTTGTGAACTTTGTCCTAATAAAGGTGGAATTTTTAAAGAGACTGATGTAGGCAAATGGGTTCATTTAGTATGCGCACTTTATGTACCCGGTGTTGCTTTCGGAGAAGTAAATGAGGTTTTAACTTTTAATAGCTGTAAATAGAGAATATCTTGACATATGTATACTTATCTTAGGTTGATCGTTTATCGAGTGTAACACTCTTTGAAATGGCATATAGTAAATGGGGAGCAAAACAGTGTTCTCTCTGTGAGGATGCATGTTTTGCTCGAACTGGTGTATGCATAGAATGTGATGCAGGAATGTGTCATACGTATTTTCATGTTACCTGGTAAGGATAGTTTGTAAAAATAATTAAATGATGAATAAAACTAATGTTCTTTAATATGAAAATTAAACATACAATATCTTGTTCTTTTAGTGCACAAAGGGAAGGTTTATTATCCGAAGCTCATAGCGAAGAAGTTGACCAAGCTGATCCATTTTATGCGCACTGTAAACTTCATTCCGACAAAACTCTCGTTCGTAGACGTAGACGTAATTGGTTAGCGCTACAATTGCGAGCTCAGTATCGTCAACAGTTGTTGAAACAACCCAATCACTTAGATACTGAAGAACAACGTAGAATACAAAGAAAATTAGCGAAACATAGACATAAGTATTTAGCTCATAAAGCATCTAGACCACCTCCATGGGGTAAGTTATCTACTATAAATATATACAAAATGAAACTAGGTACAATATAAAAGACCTATATTATTTCTAGTACCAACTCAAAAAATGCCTCGGTTGTTAACTACGTCTGCTTCTGCATGTCGACAGTTAGCAAGAAAAGCAGAACTTATGGGAGTCGATACAGCTGCATTAGAAGCACAAGAAGCACAACTTGTAGCTTTAGTCGATGTGAGGAAAAAATGGCACATTCCACCTGCTTTTAGCGTGGAATTTATCGGTTACTACTTAGATCGTAATTTAAGAGTAACATCTATGAAAAGACGATTACAAGAACTTCTCGATATTAATTCCCAGTTACTTAATGAACAACTAAGACTAGATAGAAAATATGATGAAGTAATGAAAGATAACGAAGAACAAATTCGAGTTAATGTAACATTAAAAGAAAAAATAGAAATGTATCATCAAGTTCTTCAAAATAGTGGTTATGTAAAACCTTTACCACAAATAGCTGATTTAGCAAAACCAAGGATAGCACCAACTCTAGGTAAGTTAGATTTGACGTTTATAAAATGTGCAAATATATCATGATTTTTAAATAGGTACAGGTTTAGGCGTACCTACTGCAGCTGCTTTGAAAATGGGAGTTGGTTTTCCTTTACCGGTTGGTAAAGGAGCTGAAGGTATACGTGAGGGTAGAGTATTAAGTAGTCAAGCTCAAGAGCAAAACCATAAAAGTGAATTAACATTACGGCATCAATGTGGCATATGTAGAAGGTCTACGAATCAACATCTACTTGCAAAATGTGATACATGTCATCTTCATTACCATTTATCTTGTCTTAGTCCACCTTTATCGCGTATGCCTAAAAAAACAAAACTTATGGGATGGTATGTGCATTATCATCATGTGTGTATACTACCAGTATATATTTTTATTATATTTAGAACACAAAATATATTTAAATTTGTAAGTAAGACTAATTTTTATAATCCTTTAATGTAGGCAATGTTCTGAATGTGACAAAGAATCTTCTGGATCAGAAGTTGAACGCATTGATACATCGGCACCACGTAAATTAAGACATTGTAAAGATGACTCTAATTTAACGTTAACCCCAACACCTCCACAAGAGGTGTCTATGCCTACAACGCCGACAACACCTAGCACATCGAAAAATTCTTCTGCCAATCTTAGTAATGTGACGAATACAACAGCACCTGACACACCAACAACACCGAAGGTAAATTGTTCCTTTATAATTAAATTTGACATATAAAAACAATGCGATACTAATTTTTGCTAACAAATTACGCATAGGTGACTATAAAACCAGTCGGGCCACAACCTCCATCTTCTGCTTCCATTCAGTCTAGTGAATCAATATACAATCAACAACCTGTTAATAACCTGATTACAACACGGGAAGGATCACCCGAATATATGGTAGCTTCGGCGGATGGTACAGAATCTGTATCACAAAGGAGCGCAAAAAAGAGAAGAAGGTTTGTAAGATATTTTATTAAATAAATGTAGAATATAATATTTTATTATTTTATCAGGGAAAAACATAAAAGATATACTCCCGATCCGATTACGGGAGTAAAACAAAGAAAGCGAAAACATAAAAGGAAAAGTTTAGATGTAGAAAATCCAGAAGGACAAAGTCAGCCAGAAATTCATAGAAGAATTACAATAAAGGTATATAGCTATCCATGGGTAGATAACAAAGTTGGAATATATCTGAAGATTTTTATGATTTAAACTTAGAATTTTTATGTAACAGATAAAACCAATCCCAAGACCAGAAGGGGATGTAGCATCTGAATCGAGTCCACAAATGTTTATTGCTACTTCTACTAGCACTGAAATTACATCACCGCCGCCACCACCGCCAAAATTGCCACCTCCACCTGCTCCACCTGTAGTTTCTAATACTCCATCCGCAACAGCAAACGTATCTGCTAATAATACAAATAGTAGAACATCTGCAGGAAATGGGAGAAAAGGAAAAGATACAGATCCTTTAACGCATTGTAATGTCTGTGATACACCTGGTACCAATCAAAACCTTGTCATGTTAGTTGATATAGAGACATGTATTAGGATACCAAACATATTCTGAACGTATGATTTGATCAATTTTTCGCATTTTAGGTGCGACGAATGTAAAAAATGCTACCATTTCTCCTGTCTTGATCCACCAGTTAAAAAATCGCCCAAAAGAAGAGGCTATTCTTGGCATTGTGCAGACTGCGATCCTAGTGTAAGTTAATTAATCTTTATTTGCTACGTGTGTCGCGACGTGGACCCAAAATTTATTGTTAAGGTACTTTCTATTTAGTCAATATAGGAGAAGAAAAAAGATAAAATAAACTAATTAACCAGTGAATATCAACTTGCACAAAACTTAAACTCGTGACAAAATATAAAGTACTTTAATGTTAAATACGTATAAATTAAATTCTCTCAATAATTTTAAATATAGAACAAACAGTCTTATTAATAACTAGTTGCTAACGTTAAACTAATTATTTTCAGTAAAAGCTGTGCCATCTTTATTTATTAAATAATCGAATACAACGTTCCATTTACGAAATATTGAATGGCAATTAGTTATTAATACGAAAAAAACTTTTAAATCTCACTTTTGTAAGAAAATGGGAACAATTCTTCATAAAAGATGGAAAATACATCTACACTTCGTATAATTTTGAAGCAGCCAAAGCAACAAATTAGACTAAAACTTATTTATGGATAACTTTTACCTTTGATCTAAAATTGTCACTAGGAATATATATTGAAGCTAACTTAATTCAATAAAAGAAAGAATCTGTAATAGTAAAAATATTTCTTTCATTTCAGGCCTCTGAATCTGAGACTTAATATCAACAATTTTATGTCTGCAGCTATAATTCTACATTTACATAAATTAAGACATTAAATGTCATTATGTTTTTTGTAAAATATACGGAATACAGACAAACTTCTTCCTTTGATTATAAAAAAGTCTTTTGAAAATACATACTGCAAGGTTTTTATTTTTAGAAAATGTTTCAGTATTTGTTTTCAAAGACTTTTTCTCTGCCTAATTTTATATAGTTTCTATACTTTGTTCACATACAAGGACAAATATAAGGTAAGAAATAATGAAAAAGAAAACAATATATATAGACATATATATATATTTTTCACTGAAATTAAAATAATTAAATTTTATCATTTTTAGCGCAGATATTAAATTTATAGGTAATTACCTAATTTTTCTTTTACTTATTTGTGGACCAGTATATTAAATATATATCGATATTATTTATTAATAATGATTTTAGATATTATAGGATTGTTTAATTGCATTAATTGAAGAAAAACATTCCTTCGTTTTACGTTTAGCAGCCAGGAAACCGTTACGAAAATCATAAGCATTTTTACAACGCGCATTTTCAACAGATATTTTTTTTACAGCAATAAAACTGTCATTTATGCACTTTACTATTAATTTATTACTTTTCTTATCGAATAGTACAGTTCCTAAAAATATAAAATTCATTGATCATTATTTTATTGAAAGTACAAAATACATAGTATTTTTACCTGGCATTTCTCCTTCAAATCTTGCGATCAGGTCACTAATTGAGGTAGGTTCGATTAATTCAATTTCTAAAAATTTTACTTTTGTATCTTGTAAGAACGTCATTAAAGGATATACTCCAAAAAGACCACGGTATAAATCATAAATACGTTTGGCTGACATTTCATCCCATTTAATTATACACATTTCAGATGTTATTTTTGGTGCTAAAAATATGGATTATAAGCTCACAGTACTTATCATTAAACGAATAACTCGTTAATTGTATATAAGTATTTACCATATGTTGCATTTGTATCATCTTGGGGTTTTGCAGATTGTAGTGACTCTGGCAAATTTTCAAATGTTTCTGCTAAAAGATTTGCACCAAACTTACTTAATTTAGCAGATAATTCTGGTAAGGTTTCATATTCACCAATCTCTACTTGCTTTTGCGCTACTATTGGTCCTATATCAAATCTTATATAATTTAAATTTTTTAATGTTTTATTGAAATATTTTATATCTGTTTATATAATTTAAGGAGTGTCATTATCTCTATTCTTAAACTAAAATGTGTATCATACAAAATCCTTTTATTGTAATGAATACTAAATTTACTATTTCAGTAAATTTTAACTATTTCAGAAGAAAGATAGTGAACTCCTCAAAGTATTTAAACAGATTGAAAGTTATATTTTCAGTTTTACTGTTTTGGCATTATCTTCATTAATGTAACTCCTGTTTGTAATTCTCCATTCATCAGTGCATAAGTCATTGGTGCTGCTCCTCTCCACTTTGGTAATAAACTACCATGTACGTTTAACATACCTCTAGAAAATAACAATAAGTATATATTAATATATACAACCCAACTAAGGCACTGAAATCTTAACATTATCAGAGTAACTTACAAAGGAAATGAATTGATAATATTAGATGGAATCAAATGACCGAATGAAACAACTACTCCAATATGAAAATCAGAAATACTTTCTTCTAATGGCCATTTGTACAAATTAAGTTCATTCTCTTTTGCATATTTCAATACAGCATTTTGTCTTACATTCGTAGTAGTAACAACTTCCAATCGCTGCAAAACTTTTGTTTCGCTATATTGATATAACATGTTTCTTTAAGGTACTGCATTCTAATTTATATAAAAGATATAATGTTTATAGAAATCATAATAATAATTTACCATTTTTTATGTAAAGCTTTTAAACTTTCCACCGCAAAGTTATCTGTGCCAAAAAATAATACTTTCCATGGTCCGTCTTGAGTTATTGTATGTGACCTCCGATTGCATATGTACTTATTATGCGTTCTTGTTTTAAAAGCTGACACAAATATTTTGTGCATGCTTTTAATATACATGATGAATGTATTATACTGTATATTATATCATCAAAAACTTGTAATATCGTAATTTAATTACTTCATTGTTATATTTTATAAACAACGCATATTCGAGCGTGGTGCCGACTATTTTTGTATATATATGATGTAAGGTTTAGTTAGGATATGAGAATCGTCTATTGAATGAGTACTATACACTCAGTGACTATAGTTGTATCCTATAGCATAACTTGTATATGAAAATAATTTAGTAATATACAAATGCGAAAACGAATAATTCTTTATTCTTTTAATAGACGATTTGGAATATGTGCAATAAACATTTGATTTATTTGTTTCCTGTTGTATCCAGAAAGAAAATTGACCTAACCAGAGTTTCTCAACTTTCTTGGCTCCTCTCTAAACATCAGCTCTTATCTATGGCCCACCTGCTTTTTTTTCAATCAACAAAATTTGAATTTATAAACATTAAGACATAAATATATGTTTTAAGTTTTTATTTGTTATAAATCAGATTGTAAATATTTAATAAAATTCTTGATGACAGGATACAAGTTCTTCATCTAATTGCAAATTTGTCAGTGCTACCCAAAATAAAAAATTCACCTATGCAGTTTACCAAGTTTAGTAATTAATTTAGATAAGATTTCGTGAGATGCCAATAAACTTTTATCTAGTTTCGAATGTTGTTCCTGGGATATTTTTGTAGCTGTTTTGCTTCATCGTTTTTCAATTTTTTATATTCTTTCCATGATTCCAAAAGCGTGGCATCCGGTTCCCTAGAGAGCCACATGGTCCTCATTGAGAAACCCTGATCTAAACTAACGCTACAATGTATACATCATAATTTTATTCGCGCGAATTCGAAGTTACCGACTTTACTGACAGTTCCAATACATCTTATCAATCCACGTATATTGATTGTTTGCAATTGTTCATTTCATTATTTTTATTTAGTACACTTGATTATACTTGATTATTGTACAACAGAGTTGTATAACATTTATTTTGTACAATGTCACGAATAAGAAGACTTTCTATTCGTGGTATTCGCAATTTTGGCGACGAAAATGAGGAGTCTACGATTAAATTTTCTCGACCATTGACGCTTATTCTTGGTCCAAATGGTACTGGAAAAACTACGATTATCGAGGCACTTAAATTTGCTACTTGCGGCGAATTTCCACCAGGTTCAGACCGGGGAAAATACTTTATTCATGATCCAGCTCTAACAACAACTTCATCGGTACGGTTATACATCATTATGAAGATAATTAATCACACATAATTACAAGAATATTTAAAGAAATTTGAAATCTTTTTATAAACAGGTACGAGGAGTTGTTAAAGCTGAAATTGCTGATGCAGCGGGTAATATTTATACAATATGCAGAACGATAGAATATTCAAAGGCAAATTCAGCAATGAGATTTAAAACTCTTGATAGCGCCTTAAGCAGAATAAGTAAAGTTACAAAAGAGGTATATAAGAATTTGTTATAAAGCATATGTATGATGAAGTATCTTTTATACATGTAAATATATATGTATATGTATGAAGCTTTTAAAATCATCTACATTTTTGTATATTTATGTAATCTTTACCAAACAAGTACTTTTGTTTGAAATGTTTTTCAGAACTTTGCATATTTAAAAAATGATAGCAATTAGAATTATCTAATAGGATTCTAATTTCAATAACTAAACATCTATACATATTATATTTGTTAATTTTATAATAGATTTAATGAAGCACTTTATAACAGACTTACGTTGTTCTAAACATTAGCTTTGTATGTTTAACAATTTTTTTGTTCATATAGGTGGTATCAATAACTAACCGATGTACCAATGTTGATACAGAAATTACATTAGCAATGGGAGTTTCAAAACCTATTTTAGATTATGTAATATTTTGTCATCAGGAAGATCTCAATTGGCCTTTTGTAGAGGGTAAAAAACTAAAAGAAAAATTTGATGAGATTTTTGATAGTGCTAGATATAACAAAGCTCTTGAAAACATTATGAAACAAATCAAAGATTTAAGACAAAGAATACTTATATTAAAGGAGCAAAAGCAAAACTGTTTATACATTGTTAGTGAATTAGAAGATAAAGAAACAAAACTTGAAGATCATAAAAAGAGATTGGAAACTATCAAACAAAAAATAGAAGAAATTAATGAAGATTTAGAACCAGTAACTCAGAAGATTGCTGAAATAGAAAAATTGGATTCTGATTACAAAGATCTGATGTCTGAAGAAAGTAATAATATTTACAAATGTTAGCAATAATTTTGTTCATAATAAAAATTTGTACATTTATATTTTTTCTAGAAAGAAAAAAAACGGAGTACATGATGTCCAAAGAACAAGTAGAGAAACTAAAGGAAAATATAACTGAAATATTTGAGGGAACACTAAAAGAACTAGAAGAGCAGCTGAAGTCTTATGATGGAAACTTAATTAAAAAAGTTGATGAAATAAAAGAGGTACATCATTTATTTAAATAAGAAAGCTCTAAATTAAAAATTTAATTTCATTTTAATATTATGTAGCTTGAAACACAATTAAAAGATATTGTTAAAGAAGAATCAAAAATATCAAAAATGTTAGCTGATGAAAGAGTCACGAATGGTTCTTTGAGGCAACAAATTAAAGATCAAGAGAGAAAAGTTACTTTACGCAATAAGATATTAAATGAGGCATTATCAGCATGGAATCTTGAGAATATTGATTCAAATGTATCAGAACTAGGTTCGATTTTAATCGTAAATTATATTATACTAACACATAAAATATAAATTAATGTTCACAGAGCAAAATTTTATCACTTTTTAGAAGTAATAGCTTTATCCAAAAGATTAGAAGAAAAAATGTGGGAATTAAATAAAAAATTAGATGAAAACAGAATGCAAAGAGAAGAAGAAGAAAAAGAGGTGCAAAAGACAGTAGATATTTTGCGCAGTGAAAAACTAAAAGTAGAGTCACAGAAAAGTATTAAAGAAAATGAGATGACTGAGACAAGAGACGAACTTAATAAAATAAAAATGGAGATATTGCAGGTTGTAATATATGGAATTATTTAAGACAGTAATATTTTAAACTAAAACTTACATCACTATTTCTTACTTTTAGATCGGTGCAGCGGCAAATAAGTTAAATTCTATTGAATCTAAGATAAAGGAAACAAAAAATAAACTTGAACAATTAAATGAAATAATGGATGTGGATACTATGAAAAAAGAAGTTCTTAACAAAACACAATCGCGAAATAAATTGGAAACACGTTTAAATTCAGTCGATGAAGAAATATCTTCGTTGTTAAAACAAAGTTCATTGCAGGCTGAATTAGAATTGAATAAATCTTCGTTACTTTCTAAAGAAAAAGAAATACAGAAATTAAAGGAGAAGCACGAAGAAAAAATAACGAAGTTATTAAATATTCCAGAATTACCTCTGTCTAAACTAAAGAGTGATTTAGATACGGTTCAAAAACAATTGGTACATAATATAAAACATATATATGATATGCAAGACGATATAAAATGATAACTGATTAATTTTACTAATTTTAGATGAATGAAATGGAACAAATTAATCAAGAAATTCAGACAGAAGAACATCAGTCGACTACTTTAGAAACGACTATAAAGCATCTTGATCATGAACTTCAAAAAAAGAAGAAAGAAATAGAGTGTATGCTAAACTTTATAATAAACAGCTTTTTATTTTTTAAATTTATAATTAACAGTTAATTTCTTATAGCGGATAAACAGAAGATCGCATCAATATGCTATTACAAAAACTTTGATGAGACTCTGTTATTACAATCAAGGAAAGTGAAAGATCTTCAAGACAGAAGAGGAATGTATGCTCATCAAGGAGCTGCTTACAAAGAATATATGAAACAATTAAAAGAAACAAATCCATGTTGTCCATTGTGTCACAGAGGTTTTGATGAACGAGAAGCTGTTGTAACTTTATTAAAGGAAATGGAAAAAGAAATGGAAAGTCATCCAAATCGATTAAAAGAATGCGAGACAGAATTAAAGATCCAGCAAGAAAAATATGATAAAATGTTACAATTAAAACCTGTGGTTGAAAAAATTGTACAATTGGAGGAAATGGAATTGGGAATGATGATGTAAGTTTTATATTATTTATTTATTCTATTTTTCAAAATATACAATAAGCTATTAAACTTTTTATAGGAATAACTTAGAAAAGTCTAAAAATAAATTGACTAGTTCTCAAAAAGTTATAACAAAATTGAAGGAAAAGAAGTCTGATCCCGAAAATAAACTTACAATCTGTAATGAGATCATGAATGATATTACGTTATGGGATAATTATATTGATGAAATTTCCAAATTTAAACAACTAATTAATAATTTTCAAACTCGCATGATTAATGCAGGTACATACAAGAAATTAATTTTTAAAACTTCACAGGTAATTATTTTTCATTTTTCGCGTAGGAATTAAGACAGATCGTAGTCTTGAGGAAGCTCAAGCTGATCGGGAAGAGTTAAAAACATTATTGAAGAACACTTCCAACGAAATTGAAATTTTACAATCGAAAATAAATACACACAATGAAAAGATTAATAATGCTCGCGAAGAACAAAACAAATTACACGAAGAGAAATTAAAAATCGAGTCCAATATGCAGAATCTAAAACAGCTGAAAGATCAGCAAGAATCGTTGTATTCAAAAGAAATTTCTCTTGGATCGTTACTAGACTCATTAAGACAAAAAATGACTTCAGCAGAAAGCGAATTAAATGAAGCAGTTGATAAATTAGAAAAGAAAAAGGTGTGTTTTTTATATTGTATTGAAATACTGCAATGTTACACTATTTAAATTATTTGTTTGCACCGAGTATGTAAAAAATATAACTACTTGTGTTTCGTTTTAGAAAGAAAACTGGGAAAAACAAGAAACTGACAGGAAATTATTAGCGGACGGAAGTAGACGTTTATCCGAATTACAGAAAGCACAGGATGAAGTTGATATATCTATATATCATAAAATCCCTGAAGCCGTAGAACGGTCCGAATCCCAAATAAAAAGTTATCAACAATCAATTGATGAACTGCTTCAGAAAAAGAGTAATACAGAATCAAAGATAAGTAAGTTAAAAGAAGATATTAGCCGTCAAGAAATTCGGAAGAGAGAATTATCTGATAACATTTTGTTACGGAAGAATGAAGAAACTACTACAAAATTAGAAAAAGAATATTTAAGTTTGAAAGAAAAACTAAGCGCCGTGAATTATTCTCAGATGCTAGAAGAACGAAAAGATTTGCAAAGTTTAGAACAAGCTTTACTCCGTAAGGTAAAGTATTATTTTAAACGACAGATAATAAATAAAAATTATAATATAATTTATGTAAAATTATACAGAGATAACATGTAAATTATTCTCTTCAGAAAAATATGATAAAAGGTAATCAAGAAGAATTAGAAAGGGCAGTGAAACAGTTCTCTGATGAATTGAAGAAAGATATTTACAGACAAGCTCGAAAAAATCATAAAACTAAATGCATTGAACTGACGGTATTACATCATAAATGATTTTTTTATATGATTCTTTATTTTGAGTATTTACAGCCGATTTGAAATAACTTATTTCCAAATTAGGTAGTGGAAGAAACTATATCAAATTTGAAAGCATACAGTAAAGTATTAGATGTGGCTATGATAGAGTACCATGAAGAACGTATGTCAACGGTTAATAGAATTATGAGGGAAATGTGGAGACTTGTATATACTGGAACAGATACGACGTCAATAGAAATTCGCACAGATGCTACAGAAGGTATAGGCAATTTAAGAAGAACATATAACTATAAACTAGTTCAAACTAAACATGGTCGTGAAATAGATATGAAAGGTCGTTGCAGTGCTGGTCAAAAAGTAATTTCTATTTTTCAAAGATATTGCTAATAAACAATAATAAATTTTAATCATTAATTATTCCGTAACTTTTATTTTTAGGTTTTGGCATCAATAATTATAAGGTTAGCTTTAGCAGAAACATTTTGTAAAAACTGTGGAGTTCTTGCTTTAGACGAACCAACGACAAACTTGGATCAGGAAAATGCAGATAGCTTAGCAAGCGCTTTAGCGACGTATGTTATAATCTGTATAATTAATTAATCAGTCAGTAATCATTGCACTTATTAATATCTTAATACTTATTTGCTTTGTTTATATTAAAGGGTTGTTAAATTACGAGCACAGCATCAAAAGAACTTCCAATTGATCGTGATTAGTCACGATGAAAAGTTTCTATTGAAACTAGCCGAATTGAATAATAACAAAGGCTTTTATGAACTTTATCGTAAATACAGGTACGCCTAAATTAAAACATTAATTTATATTATTTAGATGTATACAACATTGCGAATTTTTATAGTGGATATACGGCAGTTAGACATTGTCAAGTAGAAAATCAAGATCATGTTGCCTCAAGCTCTATAAAAGAAGAAGTATCATCTGATGAGGAAGTTGAGGAAGACCCAGTAAAATCGAAAGATAGCTCACAATCAGACACAGGTTCGCAGACAAAAGCACAATTGCAAAAGAGAAAGAGACAGGAATCCGAAGATCGTGCCGAGAGTACATCAAAAAGGAGATACGTTTTAAATTTGTAAAGTCTTTCTTTATCATAGAATAAGTTTAACATTAAGCCGAAATATGTATATTCTGTGTGTGTATACATTTTTTTTTATATTTGTACAAAACAAAAGTGTCTTTTTTATGTTTATATTTATAAAGATGTGAAGTAAAGTGTTTATAAGTATGCTACATAATTTCTATTGTTCATTATTGAAAAATAAATGTTGCCTTTGCTAACATATATTTTGTTTGGCACAGTATAGTCTCGCTATATTACCCGCTGTGTGAGTTTCCCGTTATACCAGCTTTAAATTTATAGCTACTGACTTTATAAATGAAGACATTTTCAAATTTATAAACCTTCAAGTTCTTAAATTTCAGATTTCAGATCTTCAGATCTTTGGATATTTAGTACCATATAGCGAAACAAATAAAACTTTTAAATATTGCCGCATTTTTAATCAATTATATCGAAAATGAATCGATTTTGACAATCGAGGTTTGATTGTACTCGGTCGATAAAAGAGGCGACGAACAGGTGACGACATCGTTGTCATACTCGTGATTTCATAACACGCCATTTTCTTTGTGTGCAGTGGTAGGCAAGAAGAATTTCACTCACCATTTTCTATCTAATTCAAGGTAACGCTATTTACAGTTGTCTTTTAATCATTATTTTAATCATCATTTGTATCTTTCAACAAACGTCATATATGTCTTATACGATACTCGTCCAATCCTAATAATAAGTTTCGATTGTCGAAATCGCGTGTTGACAGGTTTTCAAGTATCATAGTTAAACGGATTTTGTTTTGTGTCTATTCAATTGCATTATTATCATTTCGTTATATTTTCATCTTCTTTGTTGCAATGTATTATACTTTCGAGATAATATCATTAGAACATCATAACCGTTAACCGCCAAAATGCATATTTAGATCATCTTTGTGCAATGCTTTTTTTCAAGTGTGATGGTACATACGTCATTACAAGGGGAGTACTTTTCCCATTCACGTTCAATGATTCACTAAAAAAGTCTTACGTTCGTGACATTCAGAGTGACGTTTTACGTTTATATCACTTTATATTTTAATTTCACGTTCGATATCGTGCGTGAATATAATATCTATTTAAGGTCAAAAATTATAGAATATTTATAATTATTACTTTACAAGGTATTATAATTTTTTCTTCTATGGCAAGTTCAAACAATAGAACTTCAAATTTACTCTCATTGTAGAGGGTTAAGTAAAGTTCTAAATAACTGATAATGACTCATTACTGTGTTAATTTTAATATTTGCATTTTACTTTTACCTATAAGTTATGGAAATTATTATAATCACTTTGACTATACGTTGTAATTCTTCCTTTGTGTAGCATGTTCCAAACAAAATATATTGTTACTATACCTTGATTAAAATAAATAATTTAATTTTTAGATATTTTTCATAATTAATATAAAAGTAGCTTATTAGCCTCTTTGAATCTATAGACGAGATATCACGTGTCATATTTTTCATAATATTGATTTAGATGCTTATCCTAAACACATTGTAAATGATATTGTATGACAAAATATCTCGTTCATAGATGCAAAGGGGTTAATAAGACTAATGAAAAATAAAAGCTTTATTTGTTTTTAGTACATAATGGCTTCTCGTAAGAAACTGTTGCTTAAGGTTATTATCCTTGGAGATTCAGGAGTTGGTAAAACTTCTCTTATGAATCAGTATGTAAGCAAAAAGTTTAGTAATCAGTATAAAGCTACCATAGGTGCAGATTTCCTTTCCAAAGAAGTAAGGGTAGATGATAGGATAGTTACGATGCAGGTAAATATATTAATCAAAGATAATTGTAATATAACATTACATATTACTATAATCGCACTCTTACTTCTACTATTTGTAAATAGATTTGGGATACAGCGGGTCAAGAAAGGTTTCAGTCTTTAGGTGTTGCTTTCTACAGAGGCGCCGATTGTTGCGTACTTGTGTTTGATGTTTCTGCACCGAGTAGCTTTAAATCATTAGACTCATGGAGGGATGAATTCCTAATCCAAGCCTCTCCTCGGGATCAAGATAATTTTCCATTTGTTGTGCTTGGAAATAAAGTTGATTTAGAATCCAGAGCGGTAAGAATATTGTCAATATTTTATCTGTCACGTTTTTTAATTAAAACAGTAGGGTTTATATGTTTTCTGTAAAATAGGAAAGATACTTTTTAAATTGAGAATTTTTATGAAATTGTGGTATATTGCAGGTTTCTAGTAAGAGAGCACAGCAGTGGTGTCAATCAAAAAATAATATTCCATATTTTGAAACCAGTGCTAAAGAGGCCATCAATGTTGAACAAGCCTTCCAAGCAATAGCGAAAAATGCTTTAGCACAGGAGAGTGAGGTAAATTCAAATAACAGTTTTTGTTATTTATAAATATTTACATTTAGTAACAAATGATGTTTCCACCCTAGGTGGAATTGTACAATGAATTCCCAGACCAAATCAAATTGACTAATGACCAAAGAAGCAATGGAAAGGGTGATTCTTGTGCCTGCTAGGCCGTGGAATGGTGAAAATTTCGGATAAGCACATAGATGCACAGGTCAGATCGTACATTCGCGTACCTGCGCATTTTGAGAAATCGAGCTTGATGTGTTTTAGAAGTCCTAAGTATGCACCTTGGTTTTGTTCATTCAAATTTCATTTGAAATAATTCTGAAGCATTCGTTCTCTAGACTTTCTATTATTGGAATCATATGAAAATATGAGGTTTATCATCAATGCATTTTAAACAATAAAATTATAAAGTTTTCTACCAAGGAGCATTCGTCTGGCTTCCTTACATGAGAGACTATGTTGTATTTTATATCGTGTATTTGTGCTATACTTGACTCAACAAATGGATGTTTGGTTAGCCAAGCAATATGTTCAACACATTTCTGAAGATTCTAATGCTCTCTTATCGGGTATGGCGAATAATATGAGCTACCCTTTTGAATTGCATCTTTATGACTGTTAATGTCTATCATTGTGGGTTGATGCTAAAAATGTTTTCAAATCACGTACACATTGTATCAGGAAGAAAATTCACGGGTCCGGAGCACACCTAGCATAATAATTAGATCGTCGCAAGTTTGCTCATGATTCATTAAGTACAATCGCATTTACTGAGAAACTCTAGAAAACATTTGTGGGTAGAATGGTTTAATTATCACTGGGAGTGTAGCTTCTTATCAAATTGAAATTGTTCATAATTCAATGTTACCGATATGTAAACAGAATAACGATACAGATAATTTTGTGAGGGAAAGTTTTTATCAAAATTGTGTGATTATTTAACCATCTCCGAATTTTTGTCTTTTTTTTCTACTCGATTTAACGCTCGAAATGCTATAAATTTTCAGAAACGTGTACAGTGATTGCGTAACTCTGAATGACAGTAAATTTGTGTAAAAACATCACAATATCCGTCGCGATGTTTCACGACGGTCTTTATCTCAAAAGGCTAGTGCGTTTTCGAGGAGAAAATTCCTTTTTTTAAAACCAACTTAGTAGTTGGGTAATTTGTTATTCGATATTCTCGATGCGCCCACAATATTCGCATATTAGTATCTTCACGCGTCTTTAAATTCCTTCCCGAAGTGAGAGTTCTGAACCGCGATGCAATAACATTTATGAAAACTTACTTGTATACAATTTTACCAGGTGCAATTGTAACATTTAAAAAGAAAAATGTGTTTAAAAAAGAGACGTTTTTTGTCAAAAACATATCATATACAATATATTGGGATATTTATTTTTAAACTTTGTATACTTTTGTTGCGTTACATTTAATGTTCTAACATGCATAAAATGTACAAGGTTGTTATATTCTGTCTAACAAGATAATTTAACATTGAGAAGCGATTTTATTAACACTTTTGATTAACTTTCTTTCTCTTTAAAATGAGCCTTTTACAACGAAAGTATATTTTTTGTACAGTAATTAACTTATTTTAACAGACTCATGCCTATGGAAAAAAATTAAAAGATTTATACCAATAGCACTGCTATTCGTTCAGAAAATCATGCGACGCGGTACTGACGATCACTTCCGTATTCAAAAATTTATAATTTTAGATTTAAATCACGATCCTGGAAGATGTAGAGCAACAGATTGTGTGAGCTGAATTGATATATATAAGTATAAGGTTTCTTATAAAAAGGTTTAGCACGTGTAACATACGCGTATACTTATGAGTGTACAGCAGACATGACCAACTTTTCATATTAGAAATTTTTAAAGTTACAAATTTTGAAATTGATAAATCCTAAACATATTTAAATCTCTTAATTCCAAAATTCCACAATTTTTAACTTTCCAAATTTCCTAATTTTTATATTTCTTCAACCTAAAATTCTGAAATTAAAAAGTTTCTGAATTTCAAAATTCCCGTTTGTGAGGAATCTCCTGGTCATGGTTGTTGTACAGAAACCTACGCTGTATACATTCGTTATCATATATGTACGCGTATGCACGTAATATATATGTATATAAATGATGATGGTCATGACGATTACAACTATAATTATTAATATAATTTTACCGAAATAATATGTTAATGATAGATATAAATAATAATATCATTATTGCTGCTGCTGCTGATGCTGCTATAAAACTACTATTGCTACTCTTAGTGTTTAAGTGAATTAAAACAAAAAAAAACAAGGAGAAATACATTTATTGCAACAAAATTATGAGCTGGTCGAATTAATTTGTTGGTTATTACTGTGCCACGGATAATTATCGCGTGACTTGAAAATAAAAAAAAAAAAAAATGAGACTATCATTATCCCTATTATTATGGCTCGATGTCTATATTGTTATTGAAATGAATGTTAAGATAGGTAGAAAAATTTAGTGAACCTGTACGAAGTAGTATATAAGACTAATATATAACTCATTAGCACCAATTTAATAACTGTGAAAGATAATGGAAAAACAGAAAGCTCTTTCCAAGTAAGAAGGTAGTCTGTAATGCAGTGTAGTTTTATTCGAGGGTTTTAATATCTTGTTATGTTCCAACCAATGTAAATTGAATATTTACCCTTGTATGAATGTAAGAAAATATTCGTTTTTACATAATGCAATTTTATCTTTCCTTGAAACCAATTATTTATTTATGTGGAGGTCAGATAAATTACAATATATATCTATGTATATATGTGTATATACGTACATGCATATATATATAAGTATATATTGTTATTCACAACACACATATATATATAACACACACATACACATACGTACGATTATATATGAATGTTGACAAAGAATATCTACGAGTAGATTAAAAAATGTGTATAGAATATTTTATATTAATGTCATGTATGACGGCCTTTGTTAAGTTTTAAACAAATTTTTACGATTAATGTCAAAATATATACATACACATACTATAAACGCCTTTATGGAAAATAAATTATGTTCATTTGCAGATAAAATTTGAATAGAGACGTTTTTTTATAAGAAAATTAAGCTAGGAATTAAATGAACTATTCATGTGTTAGAAAATATTTATGCAATGATTTATTTTTGAATTTGTGCATTAACATACCTCAAGTTTGAAAGGTATCAAACTTATTTAGATTTGTAACAAAGAGAAATACAGATTTCAAAAGTAATAGATTGATAATGGCATATTTGATAAATTCAAATATTTAATTTTCACTTTTTTTAGCGTCATTTTATTGTTTTTACACATTTTCAATTGTATACTACAGTTGATATGATAATATGCAATATATCATTGTTAACGTTTTTAACAATTTGATAACAATATCATGACCACCTATATGATAGAATTAGGTATAATTAGATCTAGGAATTATTTCCCAATAACTTCCACTACTGAATATTAAGAGGAATACATGTGATCTACTGTTTAGCTATTTATAAATAAAATAAAAACAATTCACGTTTTTGCAATAATTAAACTTCGGAACGAATAATCTTTTGAGTTTCACCTTCGGTCAAGTTTTTTTTTTATATCTTACCTAGTATGTTCTATACATGCTCTACATTTTATTTGCAAATAAAAGCATACTTTCAATTTTCATTTGTTTCGATTTATGCTTAAGTTTCATATAAAGCAAATTAAATGTTAAAGTATAGGTTATAAGAACGAAGTACTAATAATACAATGTTTGTTACGTGTCACATTTGCGCTGATTTTAAAGATGGCCTAATCATATGTGCAAACGTATAAACAAGAAATTAGGTTAGAAACAACTGAATGGATTTCTCTATGCATATGAGAAATTTTTCTTGTTTGCGCATCTCAATTGAATTACAAGACCTCTATTGTTCATTTCTCACTTCGTGACTCATATACACAGTGAACGAAAAATATATGAATAGGGAGAAGAAATAATTATATATGAGGTGTACTGAAATAAAAAATCACTAGATAGGTGCTGCTTGATACTATGATATTGTAAAGGCGCATGCGCGTTACCCTTGGTTACGAAACGTGCTTCACCAATCAAATCTTATGTGCGTACAATAAACGAAAACTCGTTGTCTCGAATACACTTCTCTCGTGGACGCAAGTATTCACAAGGATTGGTAGTTTGATATTTTTAACTTTTCTATTTAGAATAAAAAGTCTGTCCATATCTTGAAGAGAGTGAACATAGAATCTATTAATTAGAAATATCATAACATTTTCAACGTTCGTATCATATTGATGGCTAAGTTACGAAATACTGTGGCGATAACAAGGTTATGTTAAGGAGTCAGTAAACAAGTAACAATTCGTAGAAACACACGTTCGTTGAACATGGTAATTCTTGCAAACTCGCAGGATGAAAATAGTGGAGAAAATATTCGAATAACTTTAAATGTGCTTAAAAAGCACATAAATCAGTATAATCTTAGAGATAAGTACATAAATTCTAAATCAGATTTGACGAGAAGTCGCCGGATCGAGGAACTGATAATGGAAGAGAAGCATCTCTCCCAACAATTCCATCAAATCAGGAAAGAAATAAAGCGTTATGAAAGAAAATATGAGAAAATATTGAAGAGAAAGGTAAAATTGATGGCTGTTAAGATTAAAGATGACTTATATAGACTGAATACTCTCAAGCAAAAATACAAGGAGTTGAATGCACAAATCAGCAAAACTGCAGAAGAAAGTAAACCAGAAAGAAAGGAAAGCTCAAAGAGAACATGTCAAGTACGACAGCGAATGAAGAGGAAATTACGTAAGTTTGGACAAAAGAATGTGCCGTTCAATAAAAAAATCAAAATCAAGATTAAGAAAAATGAGAAGCTAGGTAGACGTGAAATGCTTTTCATCAATGAAAATGGGCAGCAACAGTTAGATAAATATCTAAAAATTAGAAAACCGACTGTATTAAATACACGAGAATGTAAAATCATGTTAGAAAGATTAACCACCGAACAAATGAATCGAATTATGCAGCAACGATGGGAGCAACAAAAAAGCAAGGAAGCAGCAGCAAATTTCTTGCAGAAAAGTAACGTAACGAATAATGAAATAAATAATGAAAAGACTAACGAAAAGAGTAATGAAATAGCAGCAGACAAACCAAATTGGCATATAAAGATTCCAAAATCAGTGTTTGAAGAAATTCAAAAAGAAGATGGTAGTTCTGGGTTAAATGTTACTTCCCCAATTAGAAATATTACCACCAGACAAGTACAGAATAATGCAAACTAACTTATAATGGTATCCGTGTTATGCATCCATTAGGAAATAAACAAACATCTTAAGCAGTATATAATTATTGATACTTGTTTTTTTTTTCTTATTTATCTCTATTTATTTTTATCAAAGAAGAAAGTTTTATTGGTTGAATCCTTTAACTTAAAATCGGATTTTTAAATCGTATCTTTCTCTTTATACTTATGTTTATGTTTAAAAATAACTACAGATTAAAATTTGTTCTAAATAATGATATATTTATGTGAAATAACTTATCATTCATGATATTTCATAAGGCACATAATATGTTTAGTTTACTCTTCAAACATAGTATTATTAATATTATGGAAAGGAGAAAACGTATTAAGATTAACAAAAACTGAAAATACCTACAATGACACATAGATTTAATACACACATAAGACTGTCTAGTAAAATGTGTCATTTAATATTGATAAATCATTATGAGCTTCTTTAACTATATAACTTTAAGCTTAGAAATATTATATTCTCTAAACAGTATTTTAAATAATTATGTTATCAATTCTTATGTTATTGGACTATTTTTATGCATCACTTGTTAAAAAACACTTGTTCATTTAATGTCTGAAATGAAGGCTCGACAACTTTAATTTGACATTATAAAGGTAAATGAAATTTTAGTTTTTAGGTTTATATTAAGTATCAAAATACAGTTCAGAGATATGATTTTATTACTTAATTTGTATGTTTCCTATACATTAGGTAATACGATTATTTTGATTAATTGGTATACATTAAGTAATCCATGAAAAATTTGTAGATACAAATTGTTAATGATTTATTAAAAAGAACTATAATTTTAAATCAAAAGAATGACATGAATATACTGTTTTAGGTAGACAAGCAAAACGGAATTTATATCTACCAAGAATTATAATTGAACAAATGGATTGTATACGTACAAATGCTTCAAGAATACGAAGATGAATATTTATATTATTGGAAGGGGTAGCAATGTTTACATATATTTGTCAACATAATGATACATTTGCATAAGTGTTCTTACACCTACATGATAATACAGTACAGAGGATTTTCGAGTGACAACTGAATAGTGTTATTTCTGGATCTAAGATATATTTAAATAATTGCCGTACACTGGTACTAAGGATCATTTCTACATTAAACTAACATGTTAATAGTATTAAAATGATACGTGCTAATAAATTATTAAACGAAACTGTACACTGTCGTTTCGCCATGCAAGAACTGGCAAAAAAGGAAGAATTAAATCAAATCTCATACTCCACATGTGTTGTAATTGAAAAATACTTGATAATTGGCAGTATTATTGTTTCAAAAGTATTGTTGCAAAACGTTTAAGGTGTTACATATGCAGATGTAGATCTGAGATAAATAAAACCAGAATATCTAATACAAGAAGAGATTGTTAGTTAACTCTGTAAACTATTAATATATATATAAAAAACAAGATATATTCACATTACGCAGCAAGGTATGTTTTACTAACGCTGTCATGAGCGATAAAAAGGGCAGCATATTATTGATAAATCTCATAATTCACTTTTCCTTTTCTGCTTAATATTCTTTGCAAACACGATGAAACGTATCATTAAATTTAATTTGCATGGTTTGCGCCAATGTAATAAATGTAAAAATTTTGATCATACGGCTGTACAAAAATTACTACAAAAAACCCTTCTAAAACGTAGTTCGATTTCTATGTATTGCTGTACAAGATGATACTAGAAATTGGTTTCGAGTTAGCTTTTAACCCTCGAACCGCGGAGCCAGGTCTGTAACTCAGATCTATGGAAACTTTCACGCAATGGTGTTGTTGAAAGAAGTACTTCCATATACTAGAAACATAATTTAGCACTAGATAAATGAAAGTCGAAAAAGTTTTAACTTAAATTCAAACTGTCCGCCGTCCAGGGGTTAACTAAGAATAAAAAAGAAAAAATATTTTACATACTCCTGTTTCTTTTAATCAGTTGCCAATTCCGTCATATAATCATTTTTATTATAAGTATTAGTAATTAAGTACTTATGAAATGTGTCTGTAAGATATATTTCAAATTAGTTTTAAAGACAATAGTATGAAATATTTCTTGAAGTACTTAGTACTTTTTATCAGCTGTACTTCGTATTTGATTTATGTTAAAGTGTGTTCCATTTAATAAAGAAATAAAGCGTGATTATGTTTTATATGTACACTTTGCATATAAGTGCTTGTTATTTAAATTTGTAATAATACTAAGTGATATCAAAAAGAAAACAATTTGTATTAAAATATATTACATTACAAATGATCAATAGACAGAAAGAGAAACAATTTGGCTTATGCTAGAAGATATTAAATTGCAGTAATATTTTAATATTACTGACAGTGTCAGCTGTTTATACTATTTGCATTTGATATTAAAAAAAATATGTGAAAATTCTCAGCACAGTTGTACATGTAATTTTCTTTCTTTATTGTAACTCGTTCCAATTTTTAGAAACATCATCCTATCTCACTAAAATCATTCGTTATTATCTATCAAAACGATTATTAACATATACATACATGTACTCGATAATAACATTAACTATGGCAGTCTGTTGAAATGTATATACTTCTAGTTAGCTAACCTCGGTCAAATTCTCATTGCAAATACAAAAAGAGAAAATAATAGCCTACAGATTGCTCGTTTGAACGCGACAAAATTTGTACTCGATCATCGTTTTGGTGTTTCGGACGCCGGTACGAGACCATTTTGCTTTCTTCTTTTCGAACGCAAACTGTCTGTTTCTTATAAAATATCGGTGTACATGCGATACAGTATCGGTTCAACACACGGAACTTATTATTTTAGCTTACGATAGAAAAAATAAGTTTTCAAACCTCTCGAGTCAAGAATCATTATTTTCGCTTGTACCGTTTTATAACTCTGTATACAGGATGCGGCAAACTTTTGGGATTTTAATGCTAAATATTTTAAACAAAATTCCTAAATTTTAAAATTTCGAAATACTTGAATATCGAGCACACAAGTATTTTTTTCGAAGACTAATACTTTAAATAGTTTTGTTGCACCCTGTATTTCTATAAAATCGAGCATAGCTAACCCTGGAGATCCATTTTACACGGATCAATAAGTTAATTACTTTCGCTACACCAGTAGATCAAATTTTTCGTCTAGCATAATAAATTGTATCTTCCCTAACGTTTACTATTTACTACCATGAAAATATGTACTGCGTCTGATAAGTTGAAACAACGAGAATGGTTCGTATGCCAACTTATAAGACACGTTATCATGGTTTCCTATCGTTTCATTTTCTATTTCTGCGTTTCTTGTTCTTCCTTAAATCTAATTCAATCAAAACCTTCGAGTTTATATCAAAGAAGGTTCTATATTTTTCAATGTACATACAATGAACTTTCTACATGTGGGAAATCGTATATGTATATTAGCGCGTGTTGAAAACGTGTATGTATATAGATTATAAAGGCATGAAAATATGGCAGTGGCAGAACGTACGCATTTGGTAATTGTTACACATATGTTAAGTACATATGCATATTTATGTGACACTTGAGAGATTTAATTAAAAAGCTGAGCGGTCAAAGTTCTTTATCTGATCCCTACTTTGCTTTATATTATAATTATAATCATCATAAATTCTGATATTCTAAAATTTCTAAATTGACAAATTCTCAAGTTGCATCTTCAAAACTCGAAATCTTCGGATTTCTAAATGTGAAGTGCGCTTATATAAAAATTCATATTTATTAACAAATCTATATTAATAAAAATGGAGAACTTGTTAACAAAAAAATTTGTAAACAAAATTTGCTGCCATTTAACCGCTCGTCATTTTTCAATTTGTACTTAAGTCGCATGCCAACGCGGACGTTCCTCATTTATAACTCTTTTTCATCGATGAATTAATTTTAGGCAGTCATGATGTTTCGACGAGTATAAACAATACGAATACTGCAATTCTTACCGGACATTAAGTTACTTATACACCTAAATGGAACTCTTAACTAGATTAAAATATGTATCTTCTTGGGAAGACGTGAAACTCTTGTTTTATTGTCGATTTGTGATCCCAATTCTTTCGTTCGTTAACCCTTTCGCTATTAAAATACTATTCGTCGTCAAACAATATTGTTTTAATTCTAAAAAATAACTATAGTCGTTTGATATTAAAAATCGCAGTTAACAAAGAAATCGGCACGATTGATGACTACCTATTTCTAACTGAAATTTTTATAAATACAATTATTTTACTTACAGTAAAATAGCCGTTCGGTAAATAGCCACTACAATTTGTTAATTAAACAAGTTATATTCGCTACAGCTACATGTATGGCAAATTAAATTTTATTTAAAGTAGTATACAACCATAGGTGTATCTAATTGCTTTTTAACTGCGGTTCGCCATAGTAAAATCATTTACTATCGTTAAAAATTGTTACAAATCGTTATCCAGTTTCACTGAGATTATTTCCAATCATTTCAAGACAAATGACTTTATGAATAATTTTGTATAAAATGAGTCTTATTGATATGTTGGCAAACGATTAATTCATGCTCATTGTATAAAAAAAATCTGCAGAATGTTACAAGTACAAAGAGAAATAAAAATTTGTAACAATATTTCCTTTTACTATTAAAGGCCCGCCATCTTGAAAAATAGATTTCTTACGAAACTGGACATTTAAAATATCGTTTAAATTCTATATTTATATTTCAGAATCGAAACTGTAAACGACGTTTTCGTTTCACTATGTTCGATTATATTCAATTCGAAAACCTATAATTTACCAGGTTACTTTTGAACGCAGAATAAAAGTTCGATGAGCATTTACATTTTCAATACGACACTATTGAAACTTAAATGCTGATCGTCGAATGGTATATTTATATGCGTATTATGATCGTTAATTATTTATTCTTTACCCTTTAGGTAGATCGTCAGTGCTTCTTCGCGTTTCTTGAGTCCGTTCCGAAGTCGAACGTTCGATCGCGAATCGTTCGATGATTTTCCTTTTTTCGCGCGAACGATTCGCTGTTAAGAAATAATTACGCAGACTAGTAACGTTTTAAACGAATGATTTGAACCACGAAATGATGGAATCGGTTCCAGTAACAGGTGGTCGATTTCATCTTGTGTTCCTCGAACCAGTCTTTTGCTCGAGTCCATTTGTGGAAATTCTACCTGATGAAAGCTGCAAAATAATTGTTTTTAGTTATCCCTTGTTTTTTTATAATAATTCTCATTGCAAACTTGTAATTCTTTTGACAATGTTTACTGTAAATTAATGCTTTTTGTTTCTATTATTTATTAAGGTTTGTTTCTATTTTTTATACATTAAGGTCTTTTGTTTCTATTTTTTGTACATTAAGGTCTTTTGTTTCTATTTTTTATAAATTAGCGCTTTTCCATTTAGGTTATTTATAAATCAGCATTTTTTGTTTGTTTATGTTGAGATTTAAGTTACTTGAATATTTTCAATATTTTCAATTTCCAAATTTAAAAATTTCCAAGGTCAAAAAATTACCAAATCAAATTTGTAAAAATGAGAAACAGTTCCAAAGGTGGAGAAATTGAATAGATCTGACATACCTGTACTCTACAGGCACTTAGAGATTATTGAGCTTTCCAAATTAAGGACTAGGGTGGTAGAACGTCTAGTTTCAATCCGTCTTTCGGGCTACAAAAGCCACAGAAGCCACCACATTTTCCGGTGATATGTTGACCGCGCTGAAAATTTAAATAGTAATCAGTAACTATGTACTTATTTATGCATAGACTTTCTTATTTTTCTTTCCAACTTAGTGCTAGTAAAGCACATGCTAGCCAAGTACACGCTAAGTACTTGTTTGCTAAGTACACGCTAGCTAAGCAACCGTTAGTTGAGTACACGCTAGCTAAGTAACCGTTAGCTGAGCACATACTAGTTAAGTATACGTTATCTAAGTACTTGCTAACTAAGTACTTCCACTGTAATATAAACTAAACAATACCACTAAAATTTTAATTTTCTAAGCCTCTATTCTTTATGTTTTCAATCTTAAGAAGTCAATATTAATTAAATTCAAAATTGATGTAAAATATGAACTCCATATGAGTTACATACATACATAGAATGTACATACATAGAAAAATCGATCAGTAGGTTGTCAACTGATAAATGATGTCGAATACCCTATTTATAATCTTTTACGTTACATAATTATTAAACACTAACTACAGCAAACAATTAAATATGTAAGAGTCATAAAATTAAATATCTAAGAGTCATTTAAAATAGCCGAAAAGTTAGTTATACCTTAATTTTATTATTAAGGTAAATGACTTTATTGAACACGTAAGAATGTAATTGTTTGAACGAAGCTTACAATATTATCAACTTGCACCGACGATCCGTCCGATCCGGTCCAGACAACATCCGACGACACTCTTAATTGAGTTCCTCTTAAGTTAATACTAAAACGACCTTGAGGACAGTGTGCCAGGCTATAGCAATCACCAGCTGTGCCGTACTTTATGCGTTTCGCACCATTCGTCCACGAGAACGTGTAATCATTTTCTGAAAAAATTATATTTGTACAAATATATGTTGTAGAGAATGTATGTTAGATAGTGTTGATTTTTAGGGTGGGTTACCTTGAATATAAAGTTTAACGGGGTCGATTCGTATCCTTCTGAACGTTGTTTTTCCAGATACGCTGCCAATAATGGTTTCACAGTCGCAGCTGTCGTTTCTTTGTCCACTGTATGGGCAAGTGTGAGGGTTCCTCAATCTAAAATGAATTAGATGATGTATTTATTGTTGAATAGTATATTGTTATTAATTTTTATTTCTTAGGATTTGTTGATGAAAATTTCAGTAGACTTCATTTTGAAATTCTTTAATTTGGACATTTTTTATTTTTCCAGTTTCTAAATTCCTAAATCTCAAATTTTCTAGTTTCCAAGTTATTAAATTTCTAGGTCTCCAAATATCTAAAATCTGAAATCCTCAAATTTTCCAATTTCCAAACTGTTAAATTTCTAAATTTTCAAACTTCCAGCTCTCAAATTCTCAATTTGTGGAACTAAATTTCCCAATCCTTAAACTTTGAAATTCTCAAGCTTCCAAATTCTCCACTTTTGAAATTCCTAAATTTTTAAATCTCTAAATTCTCAAACTCCCAAATTTTCAAATTCTCAAATTGCTAAATCCCTAAATTCCCAAATTTCTAAACTTTGAAATTCTCAAGCTTCCAAATTCTCCACTTTTGAAATTCCTAAATTCTCAAACTCCCAAACTCCCAAAGTCCCAAAGTCTCAAATTCCCAAATCCTAAATTTTCAAATCCCTTAAATCACAAACCCACAAATCCCATAAATCAAAAATCTCCAACTCCTTAATTCCACAAATCCCAAAATTGTTTTCCTTTCAAAGTCCCCAAATTCCCAATTTTTCAACTTTCACCCCTAAATTTTTCCCATCTTTCAAATTTCCAAATCTCCAAATTTCAAACCTTCCAAAATTTTCAAAATTACTGCTCTTTTACATTGAACCGACCTCTTGTCGTACACCTCTGCATAATTTTCCGACGACCCAGCTGGCAAAGTCAAATACTCTTTCGGTTCCGACGTTGACATTTCATGGCAATAGATTGACATGCTTCTTCCACCAACGACCAACATGTACTCGCTGTTTTTAATCGTCCTATAATACTTCTTAGCTTCGAGGCAGGACATCGGGTAACACTTTCGTTGATTACATTTTCTCCTTCGTTGCGGTTTAAACTCCTTAGGACACTTCACATGAGGCACTCTCTTGCCTGAGCGATCGTGGCAGAACAACCTTCGAACTTGTCGTCCTTTTTGACCGCAAGTGTGGCTACACTAAAAATTTCATAGAAAAAAGATTATTGGCCAATGATCATAATCGAGGCCCATACAAAATCAGTCAATCAATCAAAAGATTATTTTACTTTTGTGAATATAATTGCTTTGTTTAACAACTTTTTTATATGAAGATGCATAAGTTTATGGATAGTGGAGTTCTAATGCAATTTTTAGACAAACAGTTATGAATTTCAAAGTCTCTGGATTAATGTATTTTTAGAGTTTTGAATTTTGAAGGCTTCAAGTGTCTGTGTTCTTAGATTTTTAAATTTTTGTGTCCTCAAATTTTGAGATGTTCACAAATTTACAAATCTCCAAATTCCCAAATCTCTAAATTCCCAAACCTCCAAATTCCCAAAGCTTCGAATTCCCAAAGCTCTAAGTTCCCAAATCTCCAAATTCCCAAAGCTCCAAATTCTCAAAGCTTCAAATTCCCCAAGCTTCAAATTTCCAAAGCTCCAAATTCTTAAAGCTCCAAATTCCCAAAGCTCCAAATTCCCAAAGCTCGAAGTTCCCAAATCTCTAAATTCCCAAAGCTCCAAATTCCCAAAGCTTCAAATTCCCCAAGCTTCAAATTTCCAAAGCTTCAAATTCCTAAAACTCCAAATTCCCAAATCTCCAAATTTCCAAAGCTCAAAAATTCCAAAGCTCCTAATCACTAAATCCCCAAATCCCCAAATCCTCAAATCCCCAAATCCTCAAATCCTCAAATCCCCAAATCCCCAAATCCCCAAATCCCCAAATCCTCAAATCAGCAAATCCCCAAATTCTCAAACCTTCAAATCCCCAATTCTCCAAATCCCCAAATCCCCAAATCCCCAAATCCTCAAATCCCCAAATCCTCAAATCCTCAAATCCTCAAATGCCCAAATCCCCAAATCCCCAAATCTCCAAATCCTCAAACCTTCAAATCCCCAATTCTCCAAATCCGCAAATCCCCAAATCCCCAAATCCTCAAATCTCTAAATCTCAAATTCCCATATTCCAAAATTCTAAACCCACAACAATCCTCAAAAACCCCCCTAAATCGAGTGTTATCCTCTCCGTTACCATACTGCTTCCCACATTTTCTTTTGAGTGCACATAAAATCAAGTTACCTTCTTCCACGGTCCAGCAGTCCAAGAATACTTGTCGTCGCATTCTCTCAATTTGCAAATCTGTTCACTAGACGGTTTTTGATTTATGGGGCAGTTAGATGCGGGTGTTGGATCGGTAACTCCGAATCGATTGGTTCGATGGCAGGTCACGGTTCGTCGTTGAATTCCTTCGCCACATTCTGCCGAACACTTGAAACAGAGAAGCTCATTTTTCAAATTCTGTTTCGAGATGAATATTAGAAATATATAGTAATTAATAGACTGCGGATGCGTTTATGATTACATTTATAAAATATTGAAATTTGTAAAATAAACATAAGTTGTGAATCTGATGGATTCATTTTTTGACTCATTTACTGAATCTCATGATTCATTTATTTACATTTACTGAATATTTATTACTGATTTATTTACGTCTCGCAGACTTCGAGGTATCGAACGTTCAGTCTGTGTTTTCTGCAGACATCCGCATTCTAGTAATTAATATATTTTATTGCGTTCGAGAATTTTCATTTTGTTACGGGTGAGTAACATTTATCTGTTTAATGTTTAATGATCATTGCAGTCGTTTAATGATTTATCTCTTGATTTGTGATGCTTATTAATTAGCAACACGTTTGAAATAAGTTCCGACGTGCGATAAGCGTGATAATCATGCTCATGCATTGTAAGTAGGTATATGAAATGTGTCGTACAAACATTAGACACTAATTAATGAATTATCAATTTATAATTAATTGCTTTTGGCAGACAATATGTTTCAACAATTGATATATAGTGAAACATAATTACTTTTGATTAAAAATAGTACTCACTGTCTTTTAGACTATCATTTTCAAGATTTTTTTAATTAATTGCTATAATTAATTATGTTATCGTAATTACTCGTAATAAATTTGTGATTAATCATTATTTAATTTGTTAACTATTATGATGAAAATGGATATTTTTAAGAAGGTTTATTAGAATGATTATAGGAGACTCTCGTTATATTGCCGTTTTTATACAGACTTTGAGATACCATGGGAGTCAACGTGTTATTAAACATGAGTTTGTTCATTTATTTTTCATTTCAATTTTCAGTTCATTTTTGTTCATTAATAATTATAAGTTATTAATTATATTATAGTTAATTTTTTATAATTATTAATTAATTATTAATTGAATAATTTGTAAGTTATCAATGCTATAAAAATTCGATAAGTTGTTAATACAGTAACAATTTAAAAAATAATTAATATAATAATTTTATAAGTTATTAATACAATAATTTTTGTTATAGAGTTTTTATACAATAACATTTTTGTACAATAATATTTTTGATTATTATACAGTAATGTTTTTATATAATTTTTGTATAGTAACGTTTTTATTGTTATTGTACAATAACATTTTTATACAGTCATTGTACAATAACGTTTTTTATGCAGTTATTGTACATTTTAATGCAGTTACTACACAATAAAATTTTTATGCAGTTATTACACAACGATGAGGTTTTCCATAAATAATCCTGAAAGGAGTGTTAACATTAAAAAAAAAAATAAAGACATGACACCAGATTCTCGTAGCATGCATGTTGATGACTTCCGCATGCTGCATTGCCAGCGATCATTTGTAAAACGAACATCGTGATCACAATCATATTCATCATGCTCTTTCGCAAACGAATCAATCGGATTAACACAATGTTATGATTGTTAATAGGATGAATCCTCAGGACACATGATTTCCTTTAAAAATAACGTCCTTCAATGAAAAACGCAAACCTAACTGATAAATCCAACTGTCTGGCATTCAGGAATGTGCGAAACAAACGAGTTTTCAAAAGAGGAAGGAATAGTCGAAGAACATTTTTATGAATATTAGACACGTGTTAAAGTATAGTAACATAGATTTTAGATCACTATGTTGAGGGAGACCTGTTTTTGTTACGATCAAAGTTAGCGGGTAATTTTTTGTTAATATTACTTGAATAATAGTATAAATATTTTTAATTTTAATATCATATACTAATCATATATCATATCATATACTATTTATATATTAAAGTGTTTTTGTTTTCTTTTGTGGGGGTTTTAGAGCCCCTTTGGTGCTCCCTTTAGAATACGTCACTGCTAACAGATGATACTGCCTTGTTAATCAGTTTTGAAATATAAAGCCTGTCATTCGAATTCATGACATAAAAATATTGTAAAGTAGTACTTATATTATACCAATTTAAAGCTTAAAGTTTAACGAAAATAATTTCATAAGGTTCTCACTGATATTTTTAATGCAAAATGGCAAATAGACAGTTATAACAAACAGTAAAAGTGAAATTTGTACATACACTATTTTTCAATGAGATGCAATTTCATTTAGAAAACTATTAATATTTTAGTATAATATTAAATTAAAGTAAACTGTACCATTCTAAACAATTAATAATTTATAAAAATTACTATACATTAACAAATGAGTATTGCAGATATACACCACTTTTTAAATACAGTATCTATCATTTCATTCACAATAAAATAATTATTCCGTTCAAATTTAAATTTATGGTGACAGAAATAATTTTTGCACTAACTTTGATCGTTTTATATTATTTCGAACCACGCAATCGAAAATGACTTCCCAGTGAATTTCTCCACAAACGAATCCCAAATCGAGCTTATGGATCAATTTAACCATACACGTATTTCTCATCAATTAATATTTTGTATAAATTAAAAGTATCACTAAAATACTTTATAATAATGAAGAAAATGAACTGTAACCAGTTTTGGTACATTCTTAATATTCTATGTTTCAATGCTTTTATATAATTACACAGCTAATTCCAATTTCACCTAATTTCACAAAAATTCTTCAACAGTTACAATAACAATTGTAAAAATTGTTAAATAATAAACAGAAATACAGAACAAAAAAATTAACGTATTAAATTAAACACATTGCACAAAATTTATTATTTTTGCACAATTATTGATTGAATCAATCAATAAGCTCGATTAAAAGAGAGGAAGTGCAACCAACGCAATCGAAGGGGAACTGCATCGAAATGAATAAGAGGCAGGCGATGATGTAACACAAGATCGATAGATCATAGATCATAATGGCGAGGTATGAAGATACCTCGGACCAAGGTCCTTCCTGCCAAATATAGTCACAGGCGACTCGTCTGCAGGGCCTCTGCGATCTTGGCTTGGACAAGCCAAGTCTCGAGCACTGCTCATCCTTAACAGTCACTTCCGGTCCATGATTTCCCCTCCTCATCGTGCACTCGACTCTCCGCCTCTGCAGTCCGCTACCGCACGATTTTGAGCACTGTAAAATGTTTTATTTGCGATGCACTCTTCGACCGAACCTGGTTCCTAAATTCTCCTCCGTTTCGAAAAATTTTCCTCCTCTAATTCGCTTCAATTTTTCATCCGATTAATGAGATTCGTTCAGAGCGAACGGAACAAATTGAAAATTAAGTTTAAATTATTTAAAACTTGTAGAAACTTGTACCAATGAAAGTATAATTTTAGTAAAAATTTTTTTGAATGATAGTAGTTTCATTGTTTACAATTTTTTAGCCCTTGCATGAAGGTCATTATGCAATTATGTATATTTGCTGTTAATAAAATAGATGTAGTTATTAATTTGTACGTTTGCGATTACATTTTATGTTTTTTAATATTTGCTGTTATATATTAGCATTTTATATGCTGTTCGATGCAAAACGTATAAACAGTTTTCAACAATGTGATTAAAGTCTTACAACATCGATAGACTCAACATTTAATTGAAGATGCTCGAATACATTACCTTTCTGACACTTTTTTTAGTTAAAAGTGTCAAGTTTAAACATGCAGTGGATAAAATTTTATTTTATGGAAATATTTAGTATCTATGTTGTGATAATATGTTATATTGTAATATTATATAAAATAAATACTATAAATGTTGGAAAAAAATTAATTTAGCATACTGGGGTTGTGGCCATTTTGTGAAGTATGTAAACAAGATGGCGAAATTCGTAAGAAACTCACAAAAACATTAAATAGTACTTAAAAAAATAATGAAGCTAGTTATTAAATTTTAATTTAGTCAAATGAAATAATTTTTTAAATCTAATAGACCCTTTCTGAAATAATTTTTGAAACCTAATCCCTATTTGTTATAGGTTAAATACATTGACGTAACTAAACTGGGACATAATCACCTTATCCAAATTTTCAATTTCACAAACCTTTAAATTTTCAAATTATCAAATTCCAAAATTAATTACCAAAGTTCACAGGCTTCATTACGTTCTTTGGTCCACTTCAAAATTACAGTTACACCAATAACTATTATACTTAACTAAGTATAATAAAAAAGCAGTATAATACATTGTATCGAGGGATAATACTTACAGAGGTCCAATTAGACACTTTCCATTTGCGGAAAATGTTTGTATCTAATCCAGTCTTCCGATTTCCAGGACCAGTCGTGCAAGGATTCTTCCGGCACACCTTCACTATTTCCGGTTTCTCGCTGTCGTGGCATCTGTCGTCAGGTAATATCTCACCCTGTGGACTGCGGCAACGAACTTGTCGATGTTGGAAACCCGTACCACATTCTCCGTTGCACTGAATTGATGAATTAATAAATTAATTTGATATGTGTCACTTATAGTAATTATAGACTGCAGCATCAAACTCCATAACTTAAAAAGAATACATATTTTAAAGAATATTATCAAGTTATTCTAAGTTTTATAAATAAAATATGTTGTTAATCATAAGTCTTTAATGTAATTTACTAACTTTGTGTATAATATTGTATGTACCAAGTGAGAATAAAAGGAATAAATGTATTTTGATAATTAACCTGACTCCAGTCACCAGTATTCCACATTGGACAATGATGGCGATTGCAAGGGATCATGGTTGATGGTTTGTTCTTCCTGTCACAATAATGATCTGGAGCAATAGTTCCAGTTTCAATGGAATTGCACGTCACTGCTGTATGCATGAAACCTCCAATACATGGTCTGGAACACTACGATAAAGATATTACATTATTTTATATTAAAGCTAAGGACCTAAGTTGGATTCAAATACTGTTGTCAATTCAGGTCTTTATTTAACTGTAATTGTATTTAGGTTATTAAATTGCAAAAGTACCTCTTTCTGTGATCGAACTTGCCATTTATATCCAGAACGGAAAGTTATGTCATAAACTTCATTGTCTTGTTGTGAATGAACTTCATGTGGTGGATCAGAAGAATATTTAATTGGTGGTACATTTATCTGTAACAAAATGTCCTTACAAAGTTTCAACTCTACATAAAAATTTAAATTTAATATAATGTTCTGTTAAAAGTAATAACTGAAGTATAATTGAATTAAAAAATTAGGTGTTTGTATGTTTGACTTACCACTGCTGGGCAGGGTTTCAGTACACAAGTGGTAGTGTCTTCAGGTTTATCAGAGGGGGAACATTTATTACTAACAGATCCCTCAGCACTTTGACAAACAACTTTTCTTCGTTTGATACCTTCGCCACAAGTGACAGAACACTATAAATAAAAATAGGTCAGACACATAGTTATCTTAATCACATAACTGGCTCTAATTCAAAATACAGTTATCAATTTCATCACATACTGGACTCCAATCACCAGCCTGCCAGTGTTCGCAAGGTCTCTCATTGCAGACTTCAACTACACCAGGAGGTAAGTCACCACACATACTGGAGTCTACAATACGGTTCTCTATATGGCACAAGTAATTTCTGTGTCGCTTGCCCACACCACAGGTCACAGAACACTGTCATCAAAAGAAATTGTACATAAGTTAAAAAATAAAATTAAGTTAAATTTTGAATTTAGAACTCAAAGTTTTAAACTTAAAATTCAAAGCTTAACTGTGTACTTCATATTATGAAAATAAATATGTATATGTGTTATATTTAAATGTATGCAATTAAATCCTGTGTCTTTATATCCCTAGACTTTTATGGTCAAGGATCATTAAATACCAACTATGCATAATTGGTATCAATTTTCTTCACCCGCAGTTAATAGTAGATTTCAATAGATGTTAAGAAATATTCTAATGCTGTTTAGCATTATATTAGCATTATAACGGTGTTTAAAAGATTTTTTGTGGTTTTGACATTAACTAATAAAAATCTTATTATGGTAACTACCACAATATTAGCTAACTAGCTATCTTAATTGCTTAACCCTATTGTTTACTTTAAAATGTTAGAAACTTCTTAAAATAAAAAACTGGGTGATGAAATTAGCATCTTTCGTTCAGATGCGCAGAATGAATAATTTCATAAAATAATATAGTTACCGGGTTCCATTTTCCTAGATCCCACTTGGGACACACACTTTGTTCACATATCCTCTTTACATGTTTTTCTTGCCTTGCACAGTTTTCATCAGGGAATGGTCTCCAATTTGAATCTACGCAAACAGCTGTTCTATACTGAACACCAGCACCACACGTAACACTGCAACTGCTCCATTCCCCATAACTCCAATGGACATTTTCACAGGGTCCCATGCAAGATTCTTCCTCGCTGGGTCGCGGGAGATGAGCACAGGCTCGTGCTGGTATTGGACGAGGCATATGATCCGAGTTCAAGAGTTTCTGGAGGCACCTGGAGGTGACTGTGCGGGTTCCTGGACCACAATGGCTGGAACACTCAGAGACTGATGTGACTTCCCATCTAGAACCATATGGAGAAAGTTAGGATTTGTGGTAAAGGGGCTGCTATGAATTTGACTTCAGAACTTGACTGAGATTAGGTAGTTCTGATTGATGTTGAAACAAAATAAAATAATATGTAGATTTTTGGTGTTATGTGCGGTGTCATATACTTACTTCAAAGTACAGTGATTATTGCACAGCTGACTTTCTTCCCGTGGTTTCTCTGTATGGTAACAATAGTCATCAGGAACTACATCTTTGTTCTCAGTACTTCTGCATTCTGCTTTCCGATACTTCATTCCTTGACATATGTAGCTGCATTCAGACCAGTCACTAAGGATCCAAGCGTAGCTATGCAAAATATGCTTGGGTACCATATACTCATACGTTATTTGGGGCGGGTACAAGTTGGACACTGATAATACCTGGAAGAGTATATTGTTCTTATTCATTTGAATAACAAATGTGCTTATTTTATTTCATAATAGTACTTTGTGAATAGAATGAAGTCCAAAACACTGATGTCTCAATGGTCATTATTTAAGTTGAATTTACATACATGACCACATGTAGATATTTAAATCAGCATTTATAAAATAAATATAAATATTTATAAATAAGTACATATATTTAAAAATAACTAAACGCAGAATAGCATGTAGACATTAGACTAGACATGTATGAGTGTAGATGGAATCTAAGTATAGTTCATGAGTGTTTTGAAGATTTCCTAGAACTTACTTCCAGAATGAGGTCAGTGTCGATTGATTTAGATGCATTCAGACGTTCAACCGCTGTTTCAGGTCCACTGTACTCGATAGTGACTCCAGTTTGAACAATTACCTTCTGGTGCATGACCATGAAGTTACCATTCAGTATATATTTACCACCTTCTCCGAGACGTAGAGCTGAAGAAAATTTGAACTGTTAACGTTAGCTGTTTCAATCAAATCGAGAAAAGTCTTTAGCAACCTTACAATTAAGACTTAACGAAGATTAACCCTTCCCTTAATAATTACACTACCTTGTACCATCTGATAAATTTGTATATCTCCCAACTTTCATCGCGTGAATCATCTCATCAGGAACTCTTACCCAGATAATTGTTGTCGTCACGCATCCCCAGCCAGCCATGCTGCCTGATATCAATATTCTTGCTTCCAGCGGGTATCTTGGTCACCCTGGTGTATCCATATTGCGTGGAATTATAGGATCCCGTGATCTTCTGGCAGGTGGAATTGTCACCCCTACAGACTCCGCAAATGTCCAGTTCTGCGGTCGAGTTCAGAACATGATCGCATCCCGCTGCTTTACAGTTGCCGTTCACGCATATGTGAAAGGTGTCCCGTCCGCATGGTGTTCCGTCGATCACCTTGTTCCGAAGCATGTAATACTGATTGCTCTCCACTTGACAGTATAATCTGCAACGGTCCTGGGGCAATACTGTAACAGGAAGCAGAGAAACATTAGCCTGGCAAAGAAAACTGGGAAACAGCTTCGTGTACCAGCATGTGGTGCGCTTACTTTTTGAGTACTTCGCGCGCCATTTCACGTCTTTGGTCATATTCTGTATGTTCAGGTTGTTGTTGTCGAATTGCGAGCACTGCTGCTCCCTGTAACATACCAACGAAACAATTATTATGCGTTTTGTTGGATATGTATAGTCGATGGCAACTACGATTTCCTTAGGAAAAATATGGATACGTAAAGGGAAGAGATGTTGCGTTCATTTTTAGCGATTTTTGGGATTTGAAGATGTGGGGATGGGTTAGGAATTTGGGAACGTAGAAATTTAGGAATATGAGTATTTGGAGTTTGTGGATTCAGTGATTTGGAAGCTCAATAATTTGGGGACCTTGGGATTTTGAGGACCATGGGATTTTGGGGGTTTTGGGATTTAGGGATCTTGGGATTTTGGGAATGTTGGGATTTGGAAGCTCAACAATTTGGGGACCTTGGGATTTTGAGGACCATGGGATTTTGGGGGTTTTGGGATTTAGGGATCTTGGGATTTTGGGAATGTTGGCATTTGGGGATCTTGGGATTTGGGGATCTTGGGATTTGGGGATCTTGGGATTTGGGGATCTTGGGATTTGGGGATCTTGGGATTTGGGGATCTTGGGATTTGGGGATCTTGGGATTTGGGGATCTTGGGATTTGGGGATCTTGGGATTTGGGGATCTTGGGATTTGGGGATCTTGGGATTTGGGGATCTTTGGGGAATTTGGGATTCGGGGAATTTGGGATTTGGGGAATTTACGATTTGGGGAATTTGCGATTTGGGGACCTTGGGATTTGGGGACCTTGGGATTTGGGGACCTTGGGATTTGGGGACATTGGGATTTGGGGACATTGGGATTTGGGGACCTTGGGATTTTGGGGATGTTGGAACTTGGGAACCTTGGGATTTGGGGTCCTTGGGATTTTGGGGACGTTGGAACTTGGGAAACTTGGGATTTTGGGTCCTTGGGAATTTGGGAACGTTGGAACTTGGGAACCTTGGGATTTGGGGTCCTTGGGATTTTGGGGACGTTGGAACTTGGGAACCTTGAGATTTGGGGACCTTGGGATTTGAGGACCTTGGGATTTGGGGACTTTGGGATTGCAGACCTTGAGATTTGGGGACTTTAGACATTATGGATCTTGGAATTCGGCTACCTATAAAATTGTGGTCCTGGAATTTGCAAGTTTATAAATGTCTGGACCTTGAGATATAATGTGTTAGAAATTTAAGAATCAAAAAATATAGAAATTTGTCAGTTCAGCTACGTGGCAACCTAAAAATATTTCAAACAATTTAGACATTCATAAATTTCAACATTTGGAAATCTAGTATTTGTAAATTTGAAAGATTCAAAATTTAAAAACTTGAAAACCTGAACATTTAGAAACGTCCAAGTATGTCACTATAACACATGAAAAATTGTCAAGTCTCTACACATGTTTTTATCCACGCAAAGCCTACATTGCTCCGTACTGTACGTGTTCAACGTAATGTGCCGTGAAAGAGATACGATGAGCTTGCTGTAACAGCGGGTGGTGAACGATGCCAGGATAGAGTTCAGTATCGTCGTATCTAGGATTGAATACGAATTCTTTTTGTGAACTCTTTTCACTTAAACTAGGCGTTTGACATGAATGACATCGTATTAAGATAGTACTATATGTAGTTGAAAAATAAAAATACCGGCATGTGATATGATATTATATGGATTTGAATGTGGATGATTGTACAGGTCGAAATAAATAGATGTTGAAGAAGGAAGAGATCACTGTCTTAGAGGAAGAGATTATTGTTTTTGTTTTATGTAGTAGTTCATAGTAGTTTAGTATTTCAAGCTGTAGTTATGTAGGTTTGATTTTATTGTACTTGGACTCAGGTGGAGTTGGACTAATGAGGTGGAGTTAGAAGTCTAACTTGGAATGTAGATGAGTTTCTAAGTTCTTAAACTATTAGATTCGCAAATTCACAAACCTTAAAATTCTCAAGTTTTCTGGACCTCAAACTTTCAATTTCTCAAATTCTCAAATTCTCAGATTGCTGAATTTCCAAATTTCCAAATTCTCAGATTCCCAGATTCCCAAATTTCCAATTTATCATGTGCCCAGACTCTTAAATGCCAAAATCTCAAATTTCTAAATTTCCTTAAATTTCCAAATTCTCAAATTTCCAATTGTCCAAGCGCTAAAACTCTTAAATGCCAAAATCTCAAATTTCCAAATTCCCAAATTCCCAAATTCTCAAATTTCCAATTTCCCTTAAATTCCCAAATTCTCAAATTTCCAATTTCCCTTAATTTCCCAAATTCCCAAATTCTCAAATTTCCAATTTCCCAAGTGCCCAAACTCTCCCAAATTCTCAAATTTCCAATTTCCCAAGTGCCCAAACTCTCAAATGCCAAAATCTCATATTTCCAATTTCCCAAATCCGTAAATTTTCAAATTTCCAATTTCCCAAGTGCCCAAGCTCTCAAATGGCAAAATCGCAAATTTCCAATTTCCCTTAAATTTCCAAATTCTCAAATTTCCAATTTCCCAAGTGCCCAAACTCTCAGATGTCAAAATCTCAAATTTCCAAATTCCCAAATCCCCAAATTCTCAAATTTCCAATTTCCCAAGTGCCCAAACTCTCAAATGCCAAAATCTCATATTTCCAATTTCCCAAATCCGTAAATTTTCAAATTTCCAATTTCCCAAGTGCCCAAGCTCTCAAATGGCAAAATCGCAAATTTCCAATTTCCCTTAAATCCGCAAATTTTCAAATTTCCAATTTCCCAAGTGCCCAAGCTCTCAAATGGCAAAATCGCAAATTTCCAATTTCCCTTAAATTCCCAAATTCTCAAATTTCCAATTTCCCAAGTGCCCAAACTCTCAAATTTCCAATTTCCCAAATTCGCAAATTTTCAAATTTTCAAATTTCCAATTTCCCAAGTGCCCAAGCTCTCAAATGGCAAAATCGCAAATTTCCAATTTCCCTTAAATTCCCAAATTCTCAAATTTCCAATTTCCCAAGTGCCTAAACCCTCAAATGCCAAAATCTCAAATTTCCAGTTTCCCTTAAATTCCCAAATTCTCAAATTTCCAATTTCCCAAGTGCCCAAACTCTCAAATTTCCAATTTCCCAAATCCGCAAATTTTCAAATTTCCAATTTCCCAAGTGCCCAAGCTCTCAAATGGCAAAATCGCAAATTTCCAATTTCCCTTAAATTCCCAAATTCTCAAATTTCCAATTTCCCAAGTGCCCAAACTCTCAAATGCCAAAATCTCATATTTCCAATTTCCCAAATCCGTAAATTTTCAAATTTCCAATTTCCCAAGTGCCCAAGCTCTCAAATGGCAAAATCGCAAATTTCCAATTTCCCTTAAATTCCCAAATTCTCAAATTTCCAATTTCCCTTAAATTCCCAAATTCTCAAATTTCCAATTTCCCAAGTGCCCAAATTCTCAAATGCCAAAATCTCAAATGTCCAAATCCTCAAATCCCCAAATCCCCAAATTCTCAAATTCCCAAATCTTGAAATTCTCAACTTTCCACTTTTCCAAGTGCCTAAACCCTCAAAGTCCCAAATTCTCAAATTCCCAAATTCCTACACAGTCAAACTCACACTTCCCCCTAATAAAAAATGTGGCCCCATAACAAAATCACGTTCGACGGTTGCATACCTGAAATCAAGACTTCCCGGCGGACACTCCCTGGTGGCGCAGCTGCGATACTTAACGCGTTCCCCGACACAGTAATTGCCACCGTTCTGCGGAGGTGGATTGTTGCATTCGCGATATTTCTTCTTGACACCGCCACCGCATGTACGCGAGCATTCTCCATATCGTCCCCATTCGCCCCATTGGCCATCCACCGGTTCCAGATTTCTACGGGACACGCATTTGCCTCGATGACACCATTTGTTTTCACCGCACACGGTCCCATCAGCCCATGGCATGTGCTGCGTGTGACATCGCTTCAGACTGTGCGGTATGTGGCACCATAATCTCTTGCACACTGCCTGGCCGTAATCAACCAATTGCTCAGTTTATCTCAATCCTTAAGTAGTATACCTACTGGGGCGATTCATAAGGTTTTCGGACATTTTGCATGTCGTTTATTCAATGATGTCTTATATAGGTACTTAAAATGAAGTCATGCTATTCGCGCAACTAAGTGAGATAATATATCACTTCAAAGTTTCTGAAGTACACTTTCGTGTACCACATTTGACATACCATACTTCATTTCTGACGCACGAAGATACTTCGTCGTTATCGCGTGTGATCTCACTTCGCATTCGTTGCACGAGATGCTGTGCAATATTTTACATTGACATTTCTCTTACTCTAACACGATGTAAAAATTCGGTAGTTACTTTCAGTTTATTTGCAATGGAATATTAAATGATCAAGTCTTTAGTGTTAGTCGATACATCAAGGTAAAGTCACTAGTTTAGTAAGCTAATTGTGGGTCGTATTATACTAGTTAGGTCTGAGGTCATATTCTGAACATTTTTGGGTACTTCAAAAGGTTCTTGTTCTTTTGTAATAACAAGTTAAGTAATATTTAGATCTTCCTTTCGTCCATTAACATATTCGCCGTTAAGATATATTGCAGATACGGGTGATATTAAGATACGAATAGAGATGTGGAGATAGAGGTACGAATGATATGGATGTGGAAGCTACCGAGGTCTGGAGATATATGAAGGTGGTGATGTATCCAAATAAGTGTCAACCTAAAAAACTAATAAATTAAAAAGCGTATCTCTGCATATTCAAGTTATGTGACTTTGAATCATCACATCTATCGAATACTCATATCAGAAATCTAAGAAATCGATCGTACAAAAAGTCCAGACTTAACATTTCCGGTGGGTGAGTCACGTAAGGCGTGTGGAACAGGTATGTCCAGGCGGCGAATATGTTAATAAACACAAAGGAGTCGGAATTTTCATAAAAATATGCGACTTACCATCACTCACCATGTCAGGGCAAATCCTGGACCCGCGTCCGAACACGAGTTCGCATTGCTTGTTGCCGGAGTAGTCCTCGCCAGGAAGTCTGCTCACGTCCTCCTGTTTCCATATCATGCTTGGGGACGGCTCGTCCAGCAGGCAGTTACCGTAGCCGGCCCTGGAACAAATTTCGACAGGTTTGAACGTCGTTCCGGTGGGACGGTGCACCCAGGGCTCTGCATCATCGGGAGGACCAAATTTTTGTCGGAAACGAATGGCGCTCGGCACAGTGCGTGCAGGTCATTCAGAATGCAGCGGGACCGGATTCCTAAGCAACGAGTCGCCTTCCTCTGGCGTTGCAGAAAAACCAGCGCCACCGGCTTTCTCGATTCAATTCAATGCGGTGACTGACGTGGGCTAATTCTTAAATCTTTACTTTAGGGACGGTGGATCGGAGTCGACTTTGGGGAATCTTTCCGTCAACGTTTTTAGGACTTCGCGGAAAATTTGAGGCTCTTGGGTTCACAGGAATGATTTAGGGGGTACTTTTGATGGTATATTTTCATTGGAATTATTCTCATTAATATTGGATGAGAAAGGTCATATAACGAGAGGGTATATAATTACATATTATACAGTAAGGTTAGGTAAGTTATGATAAAGTTCTATAATGTGAGACATGCAAGATTAGTGGTGCAAATCATATAGTTAAATTTACTATAAGGCTATATAACAAGTAGTAATATTATACAGAGTAAGGCAATATAGCAAGTATATTATGTAACGTGTAGTAATACCATACATGAGACTGTAATATGCAAAGTTATTCGGTGCAGGTAATATAGTTATAATGTTTAGAATGGTTATGCATATAAAGAGTAGTTATATTCAGTGTATGGCCATATAATGAATACAGTTACGAGACTATACTATATGAGAGCATATGATTTTGATACAACACGTGATGTAACACGTAAACTATAAAGTGAGGTTATTTAAAACTGTACACGTGTGGCCATATAACGAGAGGCCATATAACGCGAGATTATACAAAGCAAGACTATCATGCAAAGTTGAACATGGTAGGTTAGCATATAAAAATTTACGAATTATACATTTGAAAATTTTCAAACTTGATACGATAAAAATGAAAAAATGTGAAAAATTCGAAATTAAAAAATTTGTAAAGTTTAAGTATTTGTTTAAATATAGAATTTTGGAAATTGAAAGTATATTTTGCTTCACTCAGCTAATTTTTGGGACAACTTTTTCAACAGCCGACGTCACCTAAGCCCACGCGTGGAGGACGAAGACCCATGATTTATGTCCTGATTTACTGAACAAAGAACACCGTGTACTAAATTGTACAAAAAAATATTTTTGACACTATGTAGGTGTTGTATAATTAGGAAATTTTATATCAATTTTTTTGACAGTCCCACTTTAAATATCAAGGTTTAACTTTCCAATCATTAGTCTAAAAATCGCCTGTTTATGAATTACATAAATTATATAAACTTAAATATGCATTCACTGTAGTTATAGTTATAATTCACTATATTCTATGTACATATAAATTATATGATTGATGTGATTCACCAGTATTTTGTTCATGTACTGAAATTTATTATACCAGTTATTTAAGTTAGCTCATCTTTTGAATATAATTTTTTAAAAATTATTATATAAATTACTTAATTAATGTGATCTATATGTCCCACGAATATTTGTTAATTTTTTCAAATTCGTTTGAATCTGTAAATTAATATAATGTTCTATGAATGTTTATTAATTTGTTAAAATTTGCTAAATAAATTATGTGATTACACAATATAATTTTGCAGATGGTTTTGAACAGTCATTCGCTAAGCTTTTAATTCGTTAAACGATGAAAAGCTCAAGGCAATTTTATGAAGAAAAAGCAAATCCTAACGAGACAGAAACGGGTCAATTTGTGACACGTTTAAGAGTGACACTGGTTATTGACTTGTCAAGGTAATGACTGACTCACTCGAGGAATTCGGTGACGTAGTGTCTGGAACATTTTGACCATTCCCAAGGGAAGGTTTTGTCATCCAGCATTCTAGACATTATGTTATGAAAGCCTGAATGATTATGGAAACCTTCGCACTTAATGTCGTCGTCATGGGGCATGTTGAATCTGAAATTTCAATCAGAAATGTTGCTTTTAATGTCTGCTCAAATCTCTTTCATTGTGTATATACAAAAATATACGTATTAGTAATAATTTTATTATTTCTTTCAATTTTTTAAAGACCTTATCTGGAGACACTGTCCACCATTTTGTAGTCGTTTGCAATGGTGGTCAATGTTAGAGATATTCTGCATATCAGTTAATAATTAATACAAAATTTGTGATTACAGTTTTTGTAGGCAGTTTTAGATTAAATGTACTTCTAACAAATTACTTTATTATTTCTTTCAATTTTTTAAAGACTGTATTTTGAGACACTGTCCGCCATTTTGTAGTTATTTGTAACGGTGGTCAATGTTTGAGATATTCTGCATAATATAGCAGTTAATATTTAATACAAAATTTGAGGTTATAGTTTTTGTATGCAGTTTCAGATTAAATGTATTTCTAACAAATTACTATATTATTTTTTTCAATTTTTTAAAGCTGTGTTCCGAAATACTATCCGCCATTTTGGTGTCATTTGCAATAACGGTGCTTAATGCTAGAAATGCATAGTATAACTCAAACTAATATTTAATACAAATTTTGTGATTACAATGTTCGTACGCAATTTTACATTAATTGTACATCTAAGAAATTATTTTATTTTTTTCAATTTTTCAAGGGCTGTATTCCAACGCACTATCCGCCATTTTGTAGCCATTTGCTACAACGGTAGTCAACGTCAGAAACACTTCATACATTATAACAATATTCAGTACAAAATTCAATATAAATTAATATTCAATACAAAATTTGTGATTGTGGTTTCAGATTAATTTGTCAAATTTAATTTAAATATGTGTAAAAATGCAAGACTTATTTATAATAGTACTCCTGAATAAATGTTAGTAATGTATAAAGTGAAATTGGTTTTCGGAATGTTTAATGACTATACTTACACGTGACCAATTTCATGAGCGATTGTAAAGGCAGCAGCAAGACCATTGTCTTGAACAATGGCACACGAGGACACTGGAGAACACATACGACCCAGCTTAGCCAGACCCAAAGTGTCGCAGCTTTTCTCGTCGTGATTATGGCACAGATTTTCCCTGAAATCATTCCGTTTCGAGTGATTAGTACCAATAATTGCACCGCCTACTAAGCTTTACTTTCAATTCTCTTCTTTCACACACTCTACTATTTATTTACTATTTCAAAAATCATTACAGAAACACAATATTTTTTATTTTTAGATATAATATTAATTACATTAATAATTACTTTATTTTAAAATTACTCAAGTGTTATTTGAGGAGAATCAAAAAATTAAAATGACAAATTTTTACAAGTTTGATGAATTTTATTAACATTTTTTTGGTGAAAAGAAAAAAGACCGGGAATTTAATTGTCGCACGAATAATTAGAACGAAAATCTGTGTTTGCAAATAAAATTAACTCGTTACATGTATAACTGTAAATAAATTAATTTACTAATAAAGTAATGTGACTAAATTAATTTATTAGTGATGTGAATAAACTAATTTATCAATAAACATAAATTTACTAACTTTTATTTGCAGTAATTTTGTACCATAAAAATTTCATGTGTAATTGTCTTCAGAAAATATTTATCGCTATTTCGAAATAGAGACACAAGACAGGGTGAGAAATAAATGATTACGAATATGTTTTCGAATTGCAAACGAAAATAGGTTCGAGTAAATTAAATAGCTGGTTCGAATAGATATTATTTCAGAAAATCGTAAATACTAGACACCTTGTTAAAAGGAGAGCAACATCGTGATGTTCTGGCGCTGGTTCATCAGGATTGTTGTTCTTCTGCCAATGACAGAACCTTTCCAACATATCAGCCGCTGCAATTCCTTCGCTGACAACGTGTCTGGCAGCGAATCGTTGATTAGTCACCTGGATCTTCATCACCGAAATATTTATTGGATTGCCAATGGACGGATCCTTGTATATTCGCGAAACCTGCAAAACAATGTTTAATATTATATAATTAACTGTGATCGCACACTGTTAGCTACGATTGTTAATTGTGCTAACTTGATAACTTGATCAAGTTATGATAACTTGACCACAACAAATTGTGATAACTTACAATAAAAATTACATCGTATAAATTTTCTGAAGCTACATCACACCTAAACGTTCAAAATTAATTATTAAACAAAAATAACTCAATACATAAGTAACTATAGTGTATAAAATGCACATATTCACCATACAGATACAGATTGACCAAACAGAGAAATTCGTCACATATTAAGACAATCGCACAAGGAATTCAAATTAAGATTACTGTCTGAATATTTCTTTTGAATGTTAAGATCACCCAGTTTTTAATCACCCTGTATATGGAATAAGATTATTATTATAACCTCGAAAAGCAATTATACCTAACGTGTTTGTTTCACGCGTCACCGCCATATGATGAAATTGTTCATAAGCGGAAAGATGATTTCTGCAAGCTTGACTGCATCCTGATCAAGCGTCAAAGAAGAGCAGAGAGAGAAAGAGAGATGTATATACGTACATAAAGAAGAAGTACCTAACCTAACACATAGACACATACACAGATAAGACGAGATGAAAGCAAAAAGAGGATAAGCGTGCATAAACAATGCAAGACACAGTCGGCTCTTAATTAGTGGTGTGTCTCGGATCGCAACAGGCATCGCCCAATCTTTCTGGAACGAATCCGTGGGAGGCATGATAAAACGTTCAGGATGTGTTTCGGGTTTTTGGATCATGTTATACTATCTTTTGAATTTTGAAATTTTGGAATTTATGAAATTCTAAATTCTTGAATTTCTGAATTTCTGAATTTCTGAGTTTCTGAGTTTCTGAATTTCTGAATTTCTGAATTTCTGAATTTCTGAATTTCTGAATTTCTGAATTTCTGAATTTCTGAATTTCTGAATTTCTGAATTTCTGAATTTCTGAATTTCTGAATTTCTGAATTTCTGAATTTCTGAATTTCTGAATTTCTGAATTTCTGAATTTCTGAATTTCTGAATTTCTGAATTTCTGAATTTCTGAATTTCTGAATTTCTGAATTTCTGAATTTCTGAATTTCTGAATTTCTGAATTTCTGAATTTCTGAATTTCTGAATTTCTGAATTTCTGAATTTCTGAATTTCTGAATTTCTGAATTTCTGAATTTCTGAATTTCTGAATTTCTGAATTTCTGAATTTCTGAATTTCTGAATTTCTGAATTTCTGAATTTCTGAATTTCTGAATTTCTGAATTTCTGAATTTCTGAATTTCTGAATTTCTGAATTTCTGAATTTCTGAATTTCTGAATTTCTGAATTTCTGAATTTCTGAATTTCTGAATTTCTGAATTTCTGAATTTCTGAATTTCTGAATTTCTGAATTTCTGAATTTCTGAATTTCTGAATTTCTGAATTTCTGAATTTCTGAATTTCTGAATTTCTGAATTTCTGAATTTCTGAATTTCTGAATTTCTGAATTTCTGAATTTCTGAATTTCTGAATTTCTGAATTTCTGAATTTCTGAATTTCTGAATTTCTGAATTTCTGAATTTCTGAATTTCTGAATTTCTGAATTTCTGAATTTCTGAATTTCTGAATTTCTGAATTTCTGAATTTCTGAATTTCTGAATTTCTGAATTTCTGAATTTCTGAATTTCTGAATTTCTGAATTTCTGAATTTCTGAATTTCTGAATTTCTGAATTTCTGAATTTCTGAATTTCTGAATTTCTGAATTTCTGAATTTCTGAATTTCTGAATTTCTGAATTTCTGAATTTCTGAATTTCTGAATTTCTGAATTTCTGAATTTCTGAATTTCTGAATTTCTGAATTTCTGAATTTCTGAATTTCTGAATTTCTGAATTTCTGAATTTCTGAATTTCTGAATTTCTGAATTTCTGAATTTCTGAATTTCTGAATTTCTGAATTTCTGAATTTCTGAATTTCTGAATTTCTGAATTTCTGAATTTCTGAATTTCTGAATTTCTGAATTTCTGAATTTCTGAATTTCTGAATTTCTGAATTTCTGAATTTCTGAATTTCTGAATTTCTGAATTTCTGAATTTCTGAATTTCTGAATTTCTGAATTTCTGAATTTCTGAATTTCTGAATTTCTGAATTTCTGAATTTCTGAATTTCTGAATTTCTGAATTTCTGAATTTCTGAATTTCTGAATTTCTGAATTTCTGAATTTCTGAATTTCTGAATTTCTGAATTTCTGAATTTCTGAATTTCTGAATTTCTGAATTTCTGAATTTCTGAATTTCTGAATTACTGATTTACTGAATTACTGAGTTACTGAACTACTGAGTTATTGCATTACTGAATTACTGAATTACTGAATTACTGAATTATTGAATTATCGAATTATCGAATTCTCGAATTATTAAATTCTCGAATTCTCGAATTATTGAATTATTGAATTATTGAATTATTGAATTATTGAGTCATTGAGTTATTGAATTATTGAATGATTGAATTATTGATTTATTAAATTATTGAATAGTGGAATAATCAAATTCCGAAATTATCGAAATCCCCCAAAACAGACAATCGACGTTCGAAAGTGAATCTCCTTCGACATCAGCCTAAGGCAAGATCCCAACAAATCGAGTTACTCCAAAATAGCGTCATACCACTTGATTATCCGCCATAACCATAAGATCAGTCATTTTGCCCCACGCTCAGTCAGAAAATCTTCATTCTGCCTATTAACTACGACGTCTCGAGTCGTTCTCGTAACAAAAACTCGACGAATTTTATTAGATAAAAGAGAGCAGACTGGTTCAATTCGGCCAACTGTTTCGAGTCCGTTTATGCAGCGTTTCGTTCTGGAATAGAGTGATTACAACAGATTACAACAATGACTCGTAATTGATTGATTAAGAGCGCGCTGCTGTTTCAGACACGGCTTGATGTGATTTCCTTGGCCAACGGGACGGATAAAACGTGGTAATGGCAGTCCCTTTTTTTGCTGTCTCGTTTCGAAATGTTTCTTTTGATAGGCCATGGACGTTGGTGAACGGCTAACTAGGAAATCACCTGGACGGACGTGGACTTTGAAATGGATAGGTGTTGCTGGTGCCTTTAGAGCGATTGTTATCGCATCACAATGATACGGTGAAAGCGGAATAATTCTATTCGATCTGGCCTTTTGGGATTTTTGGGAGATTTCGGTATGCTTCGCTAACATTCAATTCATTTCTTCTTGAATATTGAATTAATTTCTTTTCGGACACTGGTCATATTCAATTGATTTCTTCTTGAACGTTGTTAATATTCAATTGATGTTAACACAATTGTAAAATGTACGATTTACTAAGTTTCTTGTATTACAAAATTTCTTGATGCAAGAATCTCAATATACAAATCTCCTTTATTTCAAAACCCCTAGATCGAAATAGTTCTATATATAATGCTAAATATGCAGAAATTCCTAAACTTCAAATTCCTATACCTAGTAACCCCTAGATTCCAAATTATTATACATATCTAGGAATACTTACATCTCAAATTCTTATGTTTAGAAATTCTTAAATCCTACGTCTATTCAGATATGCCTAGATTTCAAAATTCTTATGTCGAAAAATCCCTAGTTCTTAAATCTCAAAGTCCTCCGTCTAGAAATCCTTAAATCACTTAGTTCATATGTTCTGAAATCTCTACACCCCAGAAACGTATATCCTGAAATCCTAAGGTTCCGAAATTCCTATATGCAGAAATGTTTAGATCACCAACTCATTGTAAAAATCCCTGAACTTCAAAACACTTATATTCAGAAATCCCTAGACTTGCAAATCCCTGCACTAAAAATCCCTAGATCTCCAACCTCTTGTATCTAGAGATTCCTAGATACCATAACTGAAATCTCGATATCACTAAATATCAAAACTACTATATCTAGAAATCCTTAGATACCAAAACTTCTGTATCGAAAAATCCCTAGACCTGCAAATCCCGGTATCAAAACCTCTCTAAATCACAAAATCCCTATATCCCGAAATGCGAATGACTAGAACTTACCACATCCCCAAATTTCTAATCCACTAAATCTTGAAATCTCAAAAAATCCCTATATCATAGTCCATCATATTTTACGTAGGGAACTTGATGTCGACTGCACCATAGTCTGCGAAACGTCGTAATAGTTTATAGTTGATTCATACAAGTACGCGAAACAAAAAGTAGGTAACGAGAAGCGCTGTCACCGTCACGACGTCAATAAATATGAATTTTTTGTCGCCAGGATAACCCATTTAACCATATATACGTGATCGGCACGGGATCACGTAGTATGTGAACGGCGCTTAAACGCGACGACGCGACGGTCGCTTACGGTTGACCACCTCCGTGGAAATGAAAAACTTGCCTCCTTACACACCGGTGACATTGCGATCTCCTGGTGACACGATTCGATTTCTCGGTCGGTACCTCTAACCGGTCCAACGAGAGACGCTTCTTTTCAACCTTTTTCTCGCCTTTTCGTGCCCTCTGATGTTCACGCGAAGGTTGACCAGCTTAGCCAACAACCGTCAGACTCGGACAAACATTACTATCTCATTGTCCGAACTTTCTTCTCCGAATCAGTGAATTGGGACATTATGAATGTCTGATGTTTGGTTTGATAGCTATGAAGGGATATATGAGCTCAATCGATACCAAACCGATCAACTGCGTTCAAATGTTCAGACAGAAATGAATTGAAGTGATTTCGACAGGAACGGATTCTGTTGTATGAAATCTTCTGGTGGTTAGCTATTGTTCGGCTAGTTAAGTGAATTCTACGTAAACGTATACTTTGATGTGCTTTGAGTAACTATTACACCCAGTGGTTATTAAATGAAATTTTGTGTTGATTTTTATTGGGACATGTGAACTTTGAAAAATTGGTATTTTGGGGAATTTGGGGAATTTGGAATTTGGGGAATTTGGAATTTGGGGAATTTGGAATTTGGGGAATTTAGGATTCGGGGAA